ATGAAGATAACCTTCATGCATTTGTGTTGCATAAAGCTGAGCCAGTTGTGATGTTTAGGCTACCTGATGTGCTTAAGTTTTCCTGCTTAGCCATCTTTGGATATTGCAGCCAGTTTGGTGTCGTGGTTAAGAATGCGGACTCTAATCTGGGAGAACCGGGTTTGATTCCCCACTCCTCCGCATGCAGCTGCTGGTGTCACCTTGGGTCAGTCACAAGTTCTCTCAGAGCTGTTCTCTCAATACCAGTTTTCAGTCAGGGCTCTCTCAGCCCCACCTACCTCACAGGGTGTCTGTTGTGGAGAGGGGAAGGGAAGGAGATTGTAAGCCACTCTGAGGCAAGGGTGGGGTATAAATCTAATCTCCTCCTCATCCTCTTTCGAGTTGACATTGAAACTGGCCCTTCCAAGTAGGGCCGTGCAGCATGCTTGTTTTGGTAGAAATACTTATACCCCACTTTTCTCCCAAATGGGACCCAAAGCAACTTGCAAAACTATTTTCCCCTCCTCCATTTTATTCTCACAACAGCCCTGTGAGATAGTGCAAGTGGAGAGTTATCGGTCCAGATGCAACCTGTGAGCTTCCATGGATTCGAACCTGGGATTCTGAGCTCCTGGTCCATCCACAATACCTGGGTTTCCCAGGATCCTAGTCCAGCGCTCTAACCCCTAGACCACATTGGCTCTCCTTGTTGTGTTAGCTGGTGCTTGACACAGAGGAGTGGATATATGATCCTTGCCTTCAGGGAGCCACAGCTCCCAGAATGGCCTCCTCTTGAAATGGCTTCCAAAGATGGAGAGAAATGCCAGAGTTCTTGGGACACGACCCTTTGCTGGTGCCGTGGTGGGACGCAAGCTTTTCATCCTCTGGTTGTACTGGCACAAACGAGAAACACACAGTTTCCTCTGTTTAGAAAGGAAAGTGCCAGGAATCTTTATTTGCAAGTCTGTCCGGAGAAAAAAGAGATCAGGAAGCGAGATAAATATTCAATCACCGGATCTGCCTTGGGATTTTTCTCAATAGGTGGAAATGCGGAGTAAACAAATAGGAGCCTTTAAAGGATTCTTCATAAGAGCCGTTTGACCTCTTGTTTCCCTCTGACATCCTAAATGCAAATGCAGCCGCGTGGAAATCAGGTTTCCAAATAGCCGTTTAGCAGCCCAAAAGAGGCCTGCTTAGCCTGAACATGTCAGAGCACAGGAAGCGGCAGGGCTGGCCACAACCAGTCCTTGGAGAGTAGACCACCAAGGAAGCCCAGGGTTGCGATGCAGAGGAAGCTCATCTCTTGCCTGGAATGCCCTGTGGACGGGGTTGCCATGACTTAGGGATCCCCTGGAATTACAGCTCATCTCCAGACTACAGAGATCAGTTCCCCAGAACATAAGAACATAAGAGACGCCAATGTTGGATCAGGCCAAAGGCCCATCCAGTCCAACACTCTGTATCACACAGTGGCCAGAAATACCAGTGCCACCAGGAGGTCCACCAGTGGGGCCAGGACATTAGAAGCCCTCCCACTGTTGACCCCCCCCCCCAAGCACCAAGAAGACAGAGCATCACTTGCCCCAGAGCCCCTATCTATACCTTGTGGCTAATAGCCACTGATGGACCTCTGCTCCAGATGCTTATCTAATTCCCTTTTAAAGCCGTCCATGCTTGTAGCCGCCACCACTTCCTGTGGCAGTGAATTCCATGTGTGAATCACTCTTTGGGTGAAGAAGGACTTCCTTTTATCCGTTCTAACCCGACCGCTCAGCAATTTCATGGAGTGCCCACGAGTTCTTGTATTGTGAGAAAGGGAAGAAAATGGATGCTTTGGAAGGTGGACTCTATGGCCTTGTACCCCACCGAGGCCCCTGTCTCCCCCAGGCTCCATCCCCAAATCTTTAGGAGCTTCCCAACCTGGATCTGGCAACCCTATCCCCCCATCCCCCATCAGTGGCCAGGGGGAACCAGGCTATATCATGGCACTTTCTCTCCCAGTGACCAAATCAGGAGCAGTTAAACTCCAGGCTATAGAAGTCTGAAAGTTTGTCTTAAGTAAAATCCCCCTTCAGTGTCTTTTCTTTAAGAAACTAATAATTATCATCAATGGATAGGAAAGTCCACAGTACTGGGGCCACTGCTTTACAGGCCCTGTTCCTAACTCTCATGGATGTCATTTTACATGGGGTGGTATAACAATCAAGGTTCCCTTTGCTGATGATGCGGGGTTGGTTTGTATGGGGAGGGGTATATCCTTGTTGCCCTATTCCATAGCTCTTTACAAAAATATCCAAGAGAAATGCATAGCGATGCTGGGTTACCAGATTTAATATTCTGAGGTTGTTGAGAAGAAGAAAACAATCCGGTTATGGCTTTGTTGGTTTAGATAAGCGAATTACAGACATTGTCATTGTGGGGGCCCCCAATAGCTTCCAGAGAACCCCATAGTCCCCCAAAACGGCTTCTGCAAAATCTATTGTCAAAGGCAAAATCGCTGGTTTTGATTAGCAATATACAATCAGACTGGAATAAGCTTCATTTCCTGGAAAGCAAACTCCCCAACCGCCACCACCCCTATCTCGCAGTGGCGTGGTTACTGTTTTGGCAGAGGGAGTCACTGTTTCAAAAGGTTACATTTATGTGTGGCTGGAAGAATAAGGCCGAGTTGCATTTTCATTGAGCTGGGACACCGGAGACCCCTTTCTACCGCCAAGGATTACAAATCATGGCCCATGAGAAACCTTTAAAAGCGTAATGGGTAGAATTTCTGTTTATTTTCAGAACAGGAAGAAATGCAGGTATTTTAGAAAGCAGAGAGGCCACAATGTGTACTGTATTTTAGAAAGTAGAGGTATTTTAGGAAGCAGAGAGACCGCAATGTGTACAGTAAACTCTATGCCCTGGCATGCATCGGGAAATGTGGAAGACCTTTGCCCCTGACTTATGTCTTTATAACAATATTGTGTTTCATAACAAAATTCTACGTAACTTTTGTGCCCAGTATATGTTTTTTTCCCCCTAATAGAAACCTGGAACGGGGCAAGTAATCGAGCAAGCTAATGAGATTGTTGCAATGTACCCTTGGCATCTGGCATGCCTTGGGGTCTTTTGTATTCCTCAACCCAGACAGCAGTCGCAATAATACTTCACACATATTATCTCAGTATGTCTTACCTAGAAGTTGACGAGTGCTTTCATTCCCATACTACAGATGTGTGCCTGGGAAGACTGAGGCTAAGCAAAGAGTGGCTTTACCTGAGATGACTTTTCAGTGCAGAGCTTCCTCCAGCCTAAGCCCATTGATTAACTGGGGTGTAGTGGTTAAGAGCGATGGATTCTAATCTGGGAGAACTGGGTTCGATTCCCCACTCCTCCACATGCAGCCAGCTGGGTGACCTTGGGTCAGTCACAGTTGTCTCATAACCCTCTCAGCCCCACCTACCTCACAGAGTGTCTGTTGTGGGAGAGGAAGGGAAGGCGATTGTAAGCCACTTTGAGACTCCTTTGGGTAGTGAAGAGCAAGGTATAAAACCAACTCCTCCTCTTATTATTGTTGTTGTTGTTGTTGTTGTTTTGTAGCACCTGAGAAGTTTCCCAACTTGTTTCTAGGTGGATTTTGGTGCCTTATCTTGTATTTCCTGTATCATTTTTTAATGTTTGTTTTGGCCTGGAGCCTCAAATATGGAAGCAGCTCAGGCCTCTCTGGACCTCTAAGAGCTCCTGAAATATTCAAACATAAATTAGTATCCTTAACAAGCGTCTCAGTGGTACAGAAGGGATGTTTGTACCAGAGAAGTCGGTACAAGGAAAAGGTGAACAGACACTTGCCATAGTTAAAACATAATAAGGTGGATCGAACCATCTTCCAAGGAGACTTCCTCCAGCAACTGGAAGAGCCACTCAAGTGGGAGGAACATAAGAACATAAGAGAAGCCATGTTGGATCAGGCCAATGGCCCATCCAGTCCAACGCTCTGTGTCACACAGTGGCCAAAACCCAGGTGCCATCAGGAGGTCCACCAACAGGGCCAGATCTCCAGAAGCCCTCACACTGTTGCCCCCCCTCTCCCAAGCACCAAGAATACAGAGCATCACTCCTCCAGACATAGTGTTCCATCTGTACCCTGTGGCTAATAGCCACTCATGGACCTCTGCTCCGTATGCTTATCCAATCCCCTCCTGAAGCTGTCTATGCCTGTAGTCACCGCCACTTCTTGCAACAGTGAATTCCACGTGTCAATGACTCTTTGTGTGAAGTTTCCTTTTATCTGTTCTCAGCCTACTGCTCACCAATTTCATGGAGTGCCCACGAGTTCTTCTATTGTAAGAAAGGGAGAAAAGTACCTCTTTCTCTCCCTTCTCTATCCCATGCATAATTTTGTAAACCTCTATCATGTCACCCCTCAATCACTGTTTCTCCAAGCTAAAGAGCCCTAACCCTCTTTAACCTTTCTTCATAGGAAACCTCCTTAGATTGAAGGAAGGCTTCAAACTTGAGCCAAAAGGAAAGGCGGGGTATAAATATTTTAACTGATAAACAGAGAAGTGAGTGAACTTTGTTTGGCGGAGTGGTAGGATGGGGGTAGGATCCACCCTGTTGTTGTGGCACGCACATTAAAGACTAACTTATCAATTGTACCATAAGCTTTAATGTCTCAGGCTCACTTCATCAGGCGCAGAAGGGATGATAAAAATACCGAAAATATATTGTTCCTTGTGATGATAGAACTCTTCTTAAGTATAAAGAGGAGCTCTGTCTCACGGACGTTTGTGCCACAATAAATATGTTGGTCTCTGAGATGACACAAGACTTCGTTATTCAGGCTGCCTAGCCTGGTTCTCCCTCTAGACTTCCTTTGATTAGAAGGCTTTCTGTAATTAGGCCATAGCGAGAGCTCTGCCTGAGGTCCGGCTTCTTGGCTTTCCTTAGGATCATGGTTAATCCCATTTCAGAAGTGAAGGCCAATTACGACTTCTGAGCTCAGTCCCTAAGCTTTCCCCATTTTTCTTCTCTTTCAGATGCCAGATACGGATAAATCTCCAGATCCGGCTTGCGCTGAGGGCTCCAAAGAAAACTGCCAAAGTCCAACTCTGGGAGGTGGTATTTTGAAGTACAGGAGTCGATCGCAAGGTAGGGGTGGTCTCGTGGAATGGGTGAATCAAAGTTTGCAAAGCATGAGAAAAAGATGAGAGAGGTCTGTTCCAGTTTGGTCCCACAGAACAGCCCTTTCCGGAGGGTCACCTTTTTTAAAAAACCAACAACAGCAGCAAACCATTAAAGCTGCAATACGAAGATACTGAGAGAAATGGGAAGGGGTCCTCTTCAGTGAAACTTCCCCCCAGCCCAAGAACATGAGAACATAACATGATTAGAACCTGCTGGATCTTACCAGTGGTCCATCTAGTCCAGCATACAGTTCATTCCTCAACACCAGGTTCTGACAGTACGAGGGATGACGAAAGGAAGGTTATGTTCCAGCCCAGAGTACAATTTCCCTGGACTTTCAGGGCTAAATATTAAAGAAACAGCCTGAAAAGATGTGGTTCAGGACACATACCAAAGGGACACCTTCAAGGGATCTCCCTTTTGTATTAGCCTTAGGGTAAATTTAGGGGAAATTTGGTGAAGTGCAGTATTTTAGAAGAGGACAGTAGGAATATAAACTATAACAGATATTACAGACTTGTTGTTGAAAACCATTGAAGGTTTGTGGTTGGAGATTGTCAGAATTTGCCCCAGTGTGTGCTTCTTGCACCTCTTCTATAAGGATCATAGAGTGCGTTAGGGAAGAAAAACACACACCACTGTATCCTGTTATAGAATCATAGAGTTGGAAGGGACCTCCAGGCTCATCCAGTCCAACCCCCTGCACAATGCAGGAAATCCACAAATACCTCCCCCCCACACCCCCAGTGACCCCTGTTCCACACCTAGAAGATGACAAAAAACCTCCAGGATCTCCAGCCAAAGTGGCCTGGAGAGAAACTGCTTCCTGACGCCAAAGTGGGGATCAGCCTTTCCCTGGGCGTGTAAGAAAGGGCCACAAGAACTAAGCACTGGTGCAGCCCTTCCTGCCCTCATGATCTGCCTAAGTTCACAGAGCTATGTTTGTTCCCATCTGCTCAGCAGCTTTCCATTAAAAAGTCGGGGGAAAGCTAGCGGGAACTTGGTCTATACTTGTTCCAGCTTTGTGTTTCTTGCATCTCTGTTCTGCTTACCTGGACTTCTTGCCTGACCCTAGACTGGAACTATCAAATGCATATTATGGTGAGATATTTCAAACTGACCTGTTTTGTAGGAAACTTGCCATCCTTGGTGGGTATCCCACAAGGAAGTCTGAATGCCTGAAAGAGACTGAAGAGCCGATTTAATAAGTTTGCATTTTGTTTTTCGGGGGGGAGGGGAGAGGAAAACAAACTTTGGTGTCAAGATTGTTTCGCTTTAAAGGAATTTTTTTAAAGAGCTTCCTGTGTTTTCAAGTTTAAGGATATTTAAATTCTTGCTCATTACATAGAGATGCTAATCTGGTCTCTGTTTCCATTTCACTTAGTTATTTTAAGTATTTGTGATTTGGGGGCCTCCGTTGGATTTACCAACTGCTTTTTGTCAGCTTGCGACTGAGATTAGTCTCAAATCTTTTAAACTGGAAATGGCCCTGTGTTCCTTGCCAGTAATTTTGGCAGCAATCCTTTAAACACACCAGCATGAAACATTAAGGCTTTGCTACAGTACGCATTTTGAAAATGGTTGCTTGCATGATAAACTGTTGCTACCGACTTATAGGCTGTGTGTGTGTGTGTATACGAAAAGATAATATCTATCATAGTTTGTGTATGTGATTTAGGAAATGCATCCATCATTTTTGAACGTGCGTATAAAATGTTGAAGTAGCACACCTGGCTCTATCACAACTGTCTGCTCTTAAAAGATGCCCTGATAGATGTGTAATAAATGGCGTCTCTCGGTTATTGCTCAGGGGCAGCAACTCGTTTAGAATCCGTGGGAGAAGATGACGAGTTGACAGTGGAAAATGGAGATGTGAGTTATGAAATAGCCATGAAATATTCCCGGGGAGGGAGAAAACATTCTCTGCCACAGCATCTGGACACAGGCACCAGGCAGGTGAGAGAGAGGGGGTACGGTTTACCGTGTTTATGTATTATTTATTTATTAATTTTTTATTTATTACTTCAAATTTGTACTTCGCCCTCCCTGCCTAAGCAGGCTCAGGGCAGCTTACACAATAAAACATAATAACAATCAGATATCATTAAAAAAAGATATTAAACTTTTAAAACAATTCATTAAAACCGCTTTAAAGGTAAAGGTTCCCTTGCTTGAAAGCCAGTCGAATCTGACTCTAGGGTTGTGGTGCTCATCTCCGTTTCCAAGCCGAAGAGCCAGCGCTGTCCAAAGACGTTTCCGTGGTCATGTGGCCGGCATGACTAAACACCAAGGTGCACGGAACGCTGTTACCTTCCTACCGAAGTGGTACCTATTTATCTACTTGCAATTTCTTGCTTTCGAACTGCTAGGCTGGCATTAAAATCGCTTTAGAACAACATAAAGTGCTAGCAATAATGCTTTTATCATATAGATGGCGCTATACATTGTATAGATTGTCTGAGTATTCAGCTTGTTGATCTTCTCGTATCTGAATGGCGGGGCACAGGCTGTCAGTCATAGACCAGGCGCCAGGCTCTACAACTAGTGATGGCACTGGTGGTGGTACTGGCGGCAGCAGCTCCTAATTGAAGGCCTGGTGGAAGAGCTGTAGACAGGGAACCTCGGTTTGTATCTGCTATATTTTGTTATGCTATTGTGGGATACTGAGAGCCAAACTGCACGCAATGCCTGCTATTAGTCAGGTTGGGGTTCCCCGAACTGACTTACAGACAGATGTTACATTGGGGAACTAGGATTCCCAAGTGCTCTGAAGCCTGATTTGACTTGGGATTGAGATGCAGTGGGAGGATGGGCTTGTGCCTCCCCCACCCCCCAACCCGCCCCACACACCATTTCCCCAAGCTGAAACATAGGAGACTGCCCTATTTGTCCCGCTGTCACCGACCCAACTTGTAGCAGACGTCATGTCTAGTTTGGCCCAGACTCTCAAGCCATTTTGCATTAGAATTGAGTCCCAGGCACCATCTAAGTGGTTAAGTGTGCAGATTCTAATCTGGGAGAACCGGGTTTGATTCCCCACTCCTCCACTTGCACCTGCTGATGTGACCTTGGGTCAGTCGCAAGCTCTGGCACAGCTGTCCTTGAAAAAGAGCAGTTTGTGCCAGAGTTCTCTCATCCCCACCCACCTCACAGGGTGTCTGTTGTGGGGAGGGGGAGGGAAAGGAGTTTGTAAGCCGCTCTGAGACACCTTTGGGTAGTGAAGGGCGGGGTATAAATCCAATCTCTTCTTCTTCTTCTTCTTCTTCTAACTTTGTATATACGATCCTTCTCTTGTTTATGTGGTCACGAATACTGAGGCGAACCAGAAATCAAGGGGGAAAGGCTTTTGCTTCCCAGCATCTCTTAACATGTTATTTTCATTTTGTTTCCATCTCTGAGTACATCTGTGACCGCAGTTTTTAAAAGATCGCTTTGAGAAAACTCGCAGGTTGTCTCGCTTACCTGCTTTATTGTCGATTGCAAAATGGGGAGCTTTTACTAATCGGCAGCTACTCAGGAGTGACCCCCTCCCCCTTGTGCCAAGCTTAAGAATTGCACTGCCTTCATGATGACCTTTGCAGAAGCGGTTGACTAGCTAGTATTGGAAACAGAATAGTGGACTGGAAGGATTCTCGGTTTGCCCCAGCGAGGCCATTCCAAGGGGTTCAACTATATGGTGCAGGTGGCGCGGGGATACTGCTGAAAATGGCATCTCCATGCTGATTTCTCCCATGTTGAGCGTAGAAGCATTTACACATACAGTAGTTTCCGGACCCACACTATATCATTACCTACTACTGGTCAGACCAGGAAAATGCAGAGTGTCACAACACAGGGCACATGTGCCTACACTTCATAGGGGTGAGGGAGAGACCTTTATTCATTGCTGCCATTTTCAACAGCATCTGTGTGTTGCTCATACCATGTAGTTCTCCCTTCCCTCCTTACCAACACCAGGTAAGGCATTTTTCTATTCTGAAAAAGGGATCATTGTAGTGCCGAGCCAAACATTCATACATCTAGGTCAGATTTTGTTGATATATGTAGGAGGAGTCTTTTTCATCAAACAAGCATGCAAATCGCAGAGAAATCAAAACTGTTTTTCTAATTTTTTCCCTAAGGCCCCTACACATAACTGCTCCTGTTTCCTTTTTTAAGACTGCCTGAGCTAGCCCATCCTTACATTGCCAAAACGTTTGGGAAAAGGAAGGTATAGGTGCTCCTGTTGAAAACAATAAGTGAGAGCACTTTGTGTCTTTGTAATGATTATGATTATTTTATTTCTTCAGGAGTACCAAATTGTTAAAAAATCAACCCGGTCACTGAGTGCAGCTCAGGTAGAATATCCCTGGCGCCTGACTCAGCCATCGATTATTTCCAACATCGTCCTGATGAAAGGTCAAGGCAAGGTAAGGACATTCTCACAAGTACTAGTAGTTGGGTCTGGGTGCATGGAAGAGCATGTGAGAATCTTGACAAGCACAAAACATATGGTGTTGTTTTCTTTAGGGTGTGGTAGTCACATTTACTACAATAAGAACATCAAAATATATGTTACCACCTCTGGAATATTTTCAGGAGGGCAGCCATGTTGGTCTGCAGTAGAAAAGCTAGACTTGAGTCCAGTAGCCATTTTGAGACCAAGAGGATTTTTTGAGGTATAAGCTTTGGAGAGTCAAATCTCCCTTCGTCAGATAGAGGAGCTCTGACTCTTGAAAGCTTATACCCCGAAAATCTTGTTGGTCCCTAGTTTGCTCCTGGACTCTAATCTGAAATGTTCTTGTTATATTCCTGTGAGTGAAGGTCTTCTAACACTGATAGGCTGAGCTGCTCTTGTGCTCAGAATTTTCAGCTACTGAGAGAACAAAACTGTCTTCTGACAAGCTTCTGTGAGGGAAGGGGAAATAGTCAGTTTGGCTGGGACCAAACCCTCAGACAGACAGTTCAACTGAGAGAAGGACCTAGGAGGTAGGGAGACTAAGGAAGACAGATTCTTGAGGCAAAATGGTTGACAAAAAGGTCAAGAACGGGCAATGGACTGACAAAGAAAAAATGGAAGGAAGGGAAGGCTTGGGGGGGGGGAAGTGAGGGCGACAGGAGTTTGATTAAAAAAGGAATTAATCAGAGACCAGACATTAAAGAAATTTCACAGTGCTTATAAGATGATGATAAGAACATAAGAACATAAGAGATGCCAATGTTGGATCAGGCCAAAGGCCCATCCAGTCCAACACTCTGTGTCTCACAGTGGCCAGAAATACCAGTGCCATCAGGAGGTCCACCAGTGGGGCCAGGACACTAGAAGCTCTCCCACTGTTGACCCCCCCCCCCCAAGCACCAAGAAGACAGAGCATCACTTGCCCCAGAGCCCCTATCTATACCTTGTGGCTAATATCCACTGATGGACCTCTGCTCCATATGCTTATCTAATTCCCTTTTGAAGCCGTCCATGCTTATAGCCGCCACCACTTCCTGTGGCAGTGAATTCCATGTGTTAATCACTCTTTGGGTGAAGAAGTACTTCCTTTTATCCGTTCTAACCCGACCGCTCTGCAGTTTCATGGAGTGCCCACGAGTTCTTGTATTGTGAGAATGATAATCTGTATAAAAACCATTGTATAAAACAAAACAATGGGTTGGATGCAACAGTATATTTCTGGTAAAAGAAGGGAAGCAGTTTTTGACGATTCCCAGTTCCACCGCAGACCCCCAATTCACCCCTCATACTGTTCATTAGAGTCTCCTCTCCTCTAGAGGGAGCGTTAAGCAAGAAGGTCCCATTCTGCTGATAGAAATGTCTTCCATCAACGGAAATTGCTGCCGGGCCGGGCTCAATAATTTCTTCCTGTCGGGTTTTTGGCTTTGCAGTTCACCCTCTCGGTCTGAGCAATTTCAAAGTCGTAGTTTCCGTTCCCACCCAATTACTTTAGGCCAAAACTGGAGTCACAGTTAAGATCTATTAACGTTTCTCTTTCCACCCCAAATCCTCTGCAGGGTCTTGGATTCAGCATTGTGGGAGGGCAGGACTCTGCTCGGGGACGCATGGGCATTTTTGTGAAGACGATTTTCCCGACTGGAGCCGCCGCCGCCGATGGAAGACTTAAAGAAGGTATGGTAGCAAATAGAGTGGATTTCTGGGAGAGGGGCCATGTCCCATATCGCAGCTGTATCCCACTTTTTCTTGGGGCCAGTGAGCATTGTTCAGGGCAGAGAAATAAGCCCATGGACCAAATCCGATTTTGGGCTGTATCAACAGAGGTATAGCGTCCAGATCATGTGACGTGATGGTATCGCTGTACTCTGCTCTGGTTAGACCTCACCTGGAGTATTGTGTTCAGTTTTGGGCACCACAATTTAAGAAGGATATAGACAAGCTGGAACGTGTCCAGAGGAGGGCAACAAAGATGGTGAGAGGTCCGGAGACCAACTCCTATGAGGAAAGGTATGAGGAGCTGGGTATGTTTAGCCTTGAAAGGAGACGACTGACAGATGCCCCAGAAGGTCAGACCAGAACCAAGAGATTGAAATTAAATCAGAAGAGTTTTTGGCTAAACATTAGGAAGAACTGTCTGGCAGAGCAGGTCTGCAGTGGAACAGGCTTCCTCGGGAGGTGGTGGGCTCGCCTTCTTTGGAGGTTTTCAAACAGAGGCTAGATGGCCATCTGACAGCAATGCTGATTCTGTGAACCTAGACAGAGCATGAAAGGGGGGGCAGGAAGGGTTGCATCAGTGCTTAGTTCTTATATGCCCAGGGAAATGCTGATTGCTACTTTGGGATCAGGAAGCAATTTTTCTCCAGGCCAGTTTGGCTGGAGATCCTGGAATTTTTTTGTCATCTTCTGTCCATGGAACAGCGATCACTGGGTGTGTGTGTGTGGGGGGGGGAGGTATTTGTGAGTTCCCTGCATTGTGCAGGGGGTTGAACTAGATGACCCTGAAGGCCCCTTCCAACTCTATGATTCTACGATTCTATGATCAGCTGGCCAACAAACTATCAGAGCATGGCCCTTCCTGATCTGCTCCCCATTTTTGGCCTGGACTGGTGGTTAAAGAGTAATTGAGATCTGGTTGGAACGGTAGGGATTTCCACAGCTGTGGAGTGCGACTCTCCCACCTCCCCTTCCTTCTGCAGACCAAAATACCTCCTGAAATGCTGCTCCTGTTGAATTCATGCCGGGGGGTCTTCCCCTTCCACTTCCTGTCTTTCTAGCATGAGCATAAACTGGGTGGGGATGGGAGGACGTCTGTACGATAGTAAAATGGAGACAGGAAGTAAATGCGCTGGCTTAGAAGCAGGCAGAGCGAATACTACCGAGAAATCTATTCATTGAACTGCCTACTACCTGTATTGTCAAACTCACGGTTGTCCTAATCCATTAATATTGGTTCATGAATTGCATTTCTTTGCTACACAAACAAACACTGCTTCTTACAGGTTGTTACGAAGTGTGCATTTTTTTGCAAGGTATGTGTGTGCTTTAGGCAGCTATAATAACACTTAGCATCTGTATATCACTGTTTTGGGTGTTCAGAATGCTTCATTTGCATTATCTTGGTAATACAGCAACCCTTAAGGTAATATTGTTTCTCAGTCTCCTTTGGCAGCTCTGAAAGAAAACTACCTCGTGATTTGATGCTGAGGTTTGAACCAGGGTCTTCCTGCTTGAGAGTGAGTCTTTTAGCCACCAAGCTGAAAACATAGGAACGTAAGAAGAGCCCTGCTGGATCAGACCAGTGGTCCATCTAGTCCAGCATCCTGTCTCACACAGTAGCCAATCCGTTCCTCTGGAGGGCCAACAACAGGGCATAGAGGCTGAAGCCGATTAGTGCCTCTGAATGTGGAGGTCCCCCTTAGTCCCCATGGCTCGTAGCCATTGATAGACTTATCCTCCATGAATCTATCTAATCCCCTTTTAAAGATGTGTATTCCTGTGGCCATCACTACATCCTCTGGCAGTGAATTCCACATTTTAATCACTCTCTATTTTGCAAAGCCTGGATGCTTATCTACCCTAGATTAAGACCCAAAAGGAGTCAGTAGCAATGTCATAGCTGTCCCTCATCTTCCTCCCCGTAGCAAAGGTTACCCATCTGATCCCTTATATGAAGATGGATCTGTTACTGAGAGTGCACCCTGGAACACCACAAACGTACCCCTCTGGCTGTACAGTCTGTGGGGAAACATCTAGACTGGTTTGCAAACTGCCTTTCGTGAAAGCTTGCTCACCACTGCTGGTTTTTCTCCTCGAGGATCCCCTTACGGGCTTTCAGAGAACTCCAGGCTCACTGCAACACAAAAGTACAAAAAGTACACTGCAACACAAACATACAAAAATGTATCTGTTCTAATGCAAGTTCAGGGTCAGAGGGCAAAGCTTTGGGAGCATTCTTTCACAATAGCTAATAGTAAACTGGCTGGCTCCTGGGCAGAAAGTGTATTCACCACCAAGACAATGGGAACACATGCAAATAAACAGAAGGTTTTTTTGTTTAAAATATACAGCAACTGGCCAGATAAATGAAGATGCCTAAGATTGTAGCTGCCCCAGTGTCCTCTGGTTTTGGAAGCTAAGCAGTGAGTGTCAGCCCTGGTGAGTGCTAGGATGGTCCATCATCCGAGCCCTGATGAGTGCTTGGACGGGAGACCGCCATGGAAGTCCATGGTTGCTATGCAGAGTCAGGCAATGGCAAGCCACCTCTATTCATTTCTTGCCTTGAAAACCTTATGGGTCGCCATAACTTGACGGCACTTTCCATAAAGATGGCAAACGGTAAGAACTTTTATCATTCTTGCATCCAGATTTTAATGTGGATCTTCCTTTTGGTTACTAGGGGACGAACTCCTGGAAGTGAATGGGGAATCTTTACAGGGGCTGACCCATCAGGAGGCCATTCAGACATTCAAGGTAACGGAATTATTAAGAGAGGTTTCTAGAGTCCCAGGGCGCAACTGCAGGCACCCGGGTGCTGTATATTTGCGTTTGGTTCGATGATTTGAGCATGGGCTGCTGCATCCTGTACATGTTGCAATCGGAGTGTCCCTTGGCGAAACCAAACAAAATCATCTTGCACTGCAGAACTATAAGGCAATTTTTTAATATGTGAAAAACTTGCCATAATGTTTCAGTTTAACGATGGAGAAGTCTGAGCTCACAAAGGTTTCCTGTGGGATATTCCCCCTCTCTCAGCTGCAGTAGCTTCCTTTGTGGAATGACTGTCCATTGATCCCAGCTAAACCAATGCAGATGCAAGAAGGGAGGCACTCGCTTTTGCTCACGCCCATTTGTTTGCTCATGAGTGTACCCTGTATATTGTGGGAAAGAATGTGCCTTTAGACGTGTGAGAGACGTACACACGCACACAAGCACTTTGGTTTCATCCTCAGGTCAACCAATAATTGGAAATGGTGTTTCCAGTACCTCCCCTCCCCTCCCCTCCCCTCCAAAAGGTCCTCATATTCCAACAGTTGCACCACCTGAAGGCACCAAAGATCCATCTCATTCTCTTTTCCAGCCACCCATAGGTTGAGCCAAGTCCAAAAACCATAATGTAAGAAGAGCTCTGCTGGGTGGCCTTATAGTCCAGCCAGGGCTCTTTTTGTAGAAAAAGACCATCAGGAACTCATTAGCATAATAGGCCACACCCAACAGCAGGAACTCATTAGCATATTGGGCCACACCCCTGACAGCACAGCTCATTAGCACATTGGGTGTGGCCTATTATGCTAATGAGTTCCTTCTGGGCATGGCCAACTCGGGAGCCAGACGGAACTCCGTTCCTGTGCGTTCCTGCCCAAAAATAGCCCTGGTCCAGCCTCCTTTTTCTGACAGTGGTCAGCAAAATGTCCACAAGGAGGGCTTTGTGGACAAAGCCGCTCCTTGTTCTTGCAAGTACCGTTCAGAGAGACGTTGCTTCTTGACATGGGAGTCCCATTTAGCTATCATAACTAATACGATGGACCTGCCCTCAGTGAATTTATGTAGCCCGTTTTTAAGGCCATCTAAGCTAGTAGCTTTCACCACATCATGTGACTGTGAGTTCCACAAGTTAGTGATGGTGTATAGTGTGAAGAAGTGGCCGCTTTGGTACTTTATCCACTGCCCATTGACTTAGTGCCTCTAGTTCTAGAGGATTTTAGTTTTAAGGGGCAAGAGCAAACGATGCAAGGAAGAAATTTAAGTTGTACGCAATTAGGAGAAGTCACAACAGCAAGAAGAAGACTAAATCCACCACTGGTTGCCACCGGCCGTTGGTGGCACTAGCACCCCAGAATGATACGATAATGATATCCTCGCTCTGCACCATCTCTAAAAAGTAATTGTCCTTCTTGGTACTAGTGATGCAATTAATTCGTAACAGGTTTATGCCAATAAAGGCTGACTTGACTTGACTTTACTAATTCGTAACAGGATCAAGTGTCAGTTTCTCCCGTGGTTGCTTTCCCCCCCATGGCCATGATTTTGACAACCGTGGCCAAAGCAGCTCGTTTCTCTAGGTTGCCCTTCCCATGGCTGGGTATCATCTTTACCACTGGGTGGTACATTTACACAAGTAAAAGTGGTCTTTCTTTTGTTCCGGATGACTCAGGTCAGGCCTGATTCAGACATATCAAAGAATCGCTATGAAAACGGCTACAACTATGCAAACATATTTATAAGAATAATACATCACATTGTCGTTGCCTATAATCCACAGTGTCGCAATAAGAAGCATGTACATCCACTGCTAACCAAACAAAAGATAACACGGTCTCCAATTGTTGTTAGCACTAATAGAAACCCCCAGGGTTATATCTGTCGAGACATCTTCCAAGCCTGTTCTCTGCACACAGACACCTGCACACTAGAAGTTAAGCTGTGCTTTTAAAACAGAGCTTCCTTACTGCCTTTTTCGTACTGCAGCCTGCTCAACTTCCCCAAGTCCTACTCCTAGTCACTGGAACCTTGGCAGTAGCATGAGGTGTCTGGGGGGGTGGGGGTGGATCAGCAGAAATTTCATGCGAGTTAAATTGCATGAGCTTGGGCTTGGATCAGCCAAAAGGATTCTCTTCTGTTAAGCCTTCCTTCAACAGAGAAGGACTCCTCCAATGGGGAATGGCTTTTTCTGGTGGAAAAAGGTTTCCCCTGGTGGAGAAAACTCTGTCTCCCTTAAAAAAGTCTTTCTTGGTTGGCTGAGTGGCTCAGTGGAAGAGCTTCTGTTTCGCATGTAGAAGTTCCTAGCTTCAATCCCCAGCATCTCCAGTTGAAAGGAACAGGTAAGTAGGTGACACGAAAGACCTCTACCTGAGATACTGGAGAGCCGCTGCCAGTCTGATTAGACAATACTGACCTTGACGGACCAAGGGTCTGATTCAGTATAGGGCAGCTTTGTGTGCGTGTGTGTGCTGGAAAAGAATCCTTAGGATCTAATCCATAGGATCCAACTCATAGTGTTTTAGGATGCTAATGATAACGAATTGCATCGTTGTTCCTTAGCAACTCAAGAAAGGCGTGGTGACCCTCACGGTACGGACCAGACTTCGTAGCCCCAGCCTCACCCCATGTCCAACTCCTACGTTGCTGAGCCGGTCCAGTTCCCCAAGTTCCAGCGGAGGAGCCCCTTTACCCAGCTCCGAAGATGTTGATGTTTCCTCCTCAAGTCGTAAGGGGCCGGGTCCAAAGGACAGGATTGTCATGGATGTGACCCTCAATAAAGGTTTGACTTCTGTCTCCCACTGCCATGAATGGGGGCACTGGTGTGCTGACTGATGATATGAAAAGAACACTGCTTGGACTGGCTTTTAAGCCCACTGCAGAGAGCAGTAATCAAGCTAGGCTTAGAGTGGCGTGCACACAACAGTCCTCAAGGGCATCGCAGGCAGCCAGAGCGCTTTATAGGCAGCTACCCCACTTCATAAGGAGCTGCGGTGGCTCAAGTGGTTAAGACGCTGAACTGCAGGCTGTGGAAGGTCGGTAGTTCAGCAGTTCGAGACCCGAGTGTGCCGCATGACGGAGTGAGCTCCCGTCTCTGGTTCCAGCTCCTGCCAACCTAGCAGTTCGAAAGCAAGGAATTGCAAGTAGATAAATAGGTACCACTTCGGTGGGAAGGTAACAGCGTTCCGTGCGCCTTGGTGTCTAGTCATGCCAGCCACATGACCACGGAAATGTCTTCGGACAGCGCTGGCTCTTCGGCTTTGAAACGGAGATGAGCACCGCAACCCTGCAGTCGGATTCCACTGGCTTTCGAGCAAGGGAACCTTTACCTTAACCCTTCTTCATGGGAGGGAAGGCAGCATAGTATAGCCTGATCTCGTCAGGTCTCAGAAGCTAAGCAGGGTCAGCACTTGGATGGGAGACCACCAAGGAGAACTCTGCAGAGGAAGGCAATGGCAGACCTCCTCTGCTGCTCACTTCCCTTGGAAGCCCCTGTCTGGGGTCACAATAAGTCGGCTGTGACTTGACAGCGCTTCTGTACGTGCATACCCCTTTTGTCACAACGTTATCTATGAACACTGAACTTGCACGTGAAAGAAACAGAGTCATGGCGATGAGCTCTGGCCCCACGTGTGTGCATTCCACTGAAGGCAGTGTACAAGTGAAGGCACTTCTCCACCCGATTGGGAACCCTGGGAAAACAGGTTCCCAATAGCACAGAATGGAGCTGCGGTGGCTCAAGTGGTTAAGATGCTGAACTGCAGGCTGTGGAAGGTCAGTAGTTCAGCAGTTCGAGACCCGGGTGCCGCAAGACAGGGTGAGCTCCTGTCTCTAGTTCCAGCTCCTGCCAACCTAGCAGTTCGAAAGCAAGAAATTGCAAGTAGATAAATAGGTACCACTTCGGTGGGAAGGTAACAGCATTCCGTGCGCCTTGGTGTTTAGTCATGCCAGCCACATGACCACGGAAACGTCTTTGGACAGTGCTGGCTCTTCGGCTTTGAAACGGAGATGAGCACCGCAACCCTAGAGTCGGATTCCACTGGCTTTCGAGCAAGGGAACCTTTACCTTTACCTTTAATAGCACAGAAACAGCCTTGTGCGCACACGTGCTTTTTTGCATATGAAGACTTTACCCATCTTCACGTGGACGCATGCATATTGGGGTGGAGCTTCACGGGTTCAGTTTCCATGAGTGTGAAAAGGGTCTATTTTTCAGTAGGGCTTCAAACAGTTTATCCATTGAAAGAAATAACAAAGAGCATTTTCATCATAAAGAAGGGGGGAAATCAGCAATCTTCAGTCATAATTTACCAAACAGATGGATCTGATAACAGCCAGGAAATGGGAAAAGATGCACTCAGCCTAATAAGAACATGACCTGTTTCTATCAGCCTTCATTGTATGAGCATTGTTGTCAGGACAGATGGGCTAAACAGCTTCCTTGCTCTCTGTCTTATCACAGAACCAGGTGTCGGGCTGGGTATCGGTGCTTGCTGCCTGACGCTGGAGAACAGCTTACCGGGTATCTACATTCACAGTTTGGCCCCGGGATCTGTGGCTAAGATGGACGGAAGGTTAAGGTTAGTTCTGAACTTCACTGCACAAAAATTACCCCAGTTCCCGTTTTTCAGGGTTATGTGGGTATCTGACTGGTATCTGACACCAGCAGTCTGTGTCAGGTGGGTAGAGAGGAAGGAATTACGAAAACCTGAATAAATTGTATGGAATTCGTTCTGCTTCCTGACAGGAACTCAGGATTTGTCATGGGCAAACTTCTTCCACTCTAGTTATTGGCCTGATTAACACATATGTGATTTTTTTTTTAAGTTCGGGATTGTTAAGCATCATTGCGCTCTCAGTAATATTATCAGGAGTACAAATGGACCGTTGGGCCTCCCCGTCACAAGCTCCCTTCTTATTTTTTATTTATTTATTTGCTTTATAACCCACCCTCCTTCACATAGCAGGGCTCAGGGAGGGTAACAACAATAAATTAGGTTAAAACCTTTAACAAATATCTAAAAAGAACTCTACAAGTTACAACAATCAAATAAGATGGCACTTAAAGAGAACACATTAGTATCTCATTTCCTGACAGAGGGGGAGAGAAAATGTAAGGAACAGGGGAACGGAGGAAGTCGGCCTAGTTAGAGATCACTGTTGTCCTCAGCCATAGGCTTGGCGGAACATCTCCATCTTACACAGGCGCTACGGAACAGCATCAAGTCCCGCAAGGCCCAGATCTCGCTCGATAGACTCGCAGGGCTCTTTTTGTAGCAGGAACTCCTTTGCATATTAGGCCACACCCCCTAATGTAGCCAATCCTCCAAGAGCTTACAGAGCTCTTCTTGCAGGAATTACTGTAAGCTCTTGGAGGATTGGCTACATTAGGGGTGTGTCACTTAATATGCAAATGAGTACCTGCTACACCCACCCCTGGCTCTGGTTGAGGACAGCAAAACAGTCTTTGGACCGGGGATCACCAGTAGATTTTTGTCACCAGTAAATTTTTTGTTCCCCTTTCCAATATTTAGCTAGCAGAGGAAGCAAGTTTACAGCAGGGTTTCTTTTAGGCTTTACATGCTATCATGAGTGTGTCTAGATGAGGCTCTGCGTTTCCTTTAGTTCCCGATTGAGCTGGACAGCGGTTGTGGTGGGCCCACCATGGGCTCTTGCTGCCACCAGGTAAATTTTGGGACAAGGAAAAGGAGAGGGACAAGAAAGGTGTGCATCGAGGGGGCCCCAAACAAGTCCACGCTGGCCTTGGAAAGGGGTGTGGGCCTGACTTGACATGGGCTGAGGCCCTGAGGGGGGTATTGAACGGCTGTTATTTTAGTTTTGGACTCTCCTCCCCATTTTTAAGACACATCCCATCATTCCTTTGTGTAGTGTACGTTGTGATGTTCAGTTGTGTCCTTGAAAACAATGGTGTAAAGTTAGTCAGGATGAGGGACAGTGATTTCTCAAGACCACCCACTGAGCCTTGTAACTGGGTGGGGATTTGAGCTCGGGCCTGCCTAGCCTAATGTTTGATTTGTAGACCACACAAAAAAGTGAATCCTGTTGGTTTTTTTTTTTAAATCCAAGTTTCCCCCCTTGTTTTCCTTTCTGGATATTAGTTTATGTGACCTTACCAACGGATACGTAAGCCACAGATTTTGTTGGGGGTTTTTTTGCACAGATTCTGTGTTCCCCAGGGGCAGAAGCTGTAATTTACATACAGATAACCCTACTTTCCAAAAACCAGTTAGAGGATCGCAAAAACTGTAGTGGTAATGGGGCTCCATGGAAGGATGCTGGTAATATACAGGTGCCTAGCCATTGACCGCTGGGTCAAAAGTCATCAGACAGCTAAGCGCAGAGTTAGTTTTACTGTGGAGGTTTCTGCTAGGAAGCTGTGCTACATGGGACCACATTGCTCTGGTTTGGAATAAATCAGCAATTCCGACCTTCACATTTGGTATACATCTCCGTCCTGTAAAACAAACATAATACTATCAGTGTAAGTTGCAGTAGGCACAGCTAGTTGGATGTGTTTGTTTTCTCAGCCGCGGTGATCAGATCCTGGAAGCCGATTCGGTCAGCTTGCGACATGCAGCTCTGAGCGAAGCCTACGCCATTTTGAGCGAATGTGGTCCGGGCCCAGTCAGCCTTATCATCAGCCGCCATCCCAATCCGAAGGTAAGGAAAGTAACATAATAAAAGTACAGCATAGGTCAGTAGCGACTACAGGCTGCTTTCCTGCACTGTTAAAAGTGTTATAGATGCATGCTCTGGTTTCTCTTCTGTTCATACAAAAAAAGTGCTATTGACATAAAAATGGTCTGTTGCAATGGAAAGAGCAAGAGTCCAGCAGCACCTTAAAGACTAACAAAATTTGTGGCAGGGTATGAGCTTTTGCGAGTCACTGCTCACTTCTTCAGATACAGGTAGTATGTGAGTCCATCTGTCCTATATCTTGCAGAGATGAGTGATTTCAGATTGCAAATGGCAATAGCAGGTGAATGACAATTGTAGGCATGAATGGATTAAGTGTGATACGCAGAGGGGTAGTAATGAGAAATCAGCATTGGTAATGAGACAGGAAACCTAGGTCTCAATTCAGTCCAGGTGGATGCATTGTGGCAGTGGGGGTCTTCAGGCTCCTCATAGGATATCACCAAGCTTAATCCCTAAAAATACTAGTTCAGTTATTGCTGGTGAGCAGGTTGCTTGGATGGTCCCATCACAATGTGGCTTTGCAGCCACAGCTTACAACTTCTATCTTACACTCTAGAACTAAATGCACTATCAGTTTTCTTTTAAAGCTCTGAACAGATGTGGCCCTTCATACTGCAGATGGCATCTTCATATGATTATCCATATACATTAAAAGTGACGGACAGGTGTGACTTTATATCCTGAAATAAGAATGATTTGGGCACAGAAGGTGGCTTTTTCTATGGGGCTACTTGCATTAGGGAACCTGCTCCCCAGAGAATCCTGCCAATGCCTCCTTATTCCAGAAAGCTTTTTTAGCTGCTGTAGCATGTTTTGGAATTCAGTGTTTTGCTGTTTGCTCCCATTGTTTTTATGTATTGTGTTGGAACCCAGATGCAAAGAATGCAGATCTTTCCCATGATGCCCTCCACTTAACAGTCTTTTCTAATTACAGAAAAGCCTATTACTTGGATCAAATATCCATGCAGGTCAGGAGGCTGCGGAGCAGGGCACAAAATCTCTCCTACCATGCTCATTTGGGTTGGCAACCCTGGGCTAGGAAATTCATGGCGTTTGGGGAGTGATTCGGGGTGGGGGGGGGCAGTGTTTGAGGAGGGGAGGGACCTCAGTCGGGTATAATGCCATAGAGTCCGATGTCCAAGGCAGCCATTTTCTCCAGAGCCATTTTAATGTATTTATTTATTGTATTTATTTTATTCGATTTATACCCCGGCCTTCCTACCAAAGCAGGCTCAGGGCAGGGTGTAGTGGTTAAGAGTGGCGGACTCTAATCCTGGAGAACCCACTCCTCCACATGCAGCCAGCTGGGTGACCTTGGGTCAGTCGCAGATCTCTCAGAGCTGTTCTCTCAAGAGAAGTTCTCTCAAGAGCTCTCTCAGCCCCACCTACCTCACAGGGTGTCTGTTGTGTGCGGGTGAGTAATAATCCTCCTCCTCCTCCTCCTCCTCCTCCTCCTCTTCTTCTTCTTCTTCTTCTTCTTCTTCTTCTCCTCCTCCTCCTCGGAGACTGATCTCCATAGTCTAGAGATCAGTCGTAATTCTGAGAAACGTCCAGGCCCCACTTTCAGGTTGGCAATCCAAATTCTGCTGATGGAAGAGGCAGAAAAGGCAGGTTTTGCTCCCTTCTCTCTCTGCACTGCAGCCTGCGTGCCCACTTAGCTTTCAGACCATGTGGGTCAGGCCACTCCAGGAATAAACTTTCCCAGGGTCGGAAAAGACTGCCGGGGAAGGTGAGCGTGGGAAGGATCGGTGACTAGGAGCACCTTCCGCTGATGGATCCCGGGATCCAACTCCGTACCTTTTGTTTTATTTATCTAGGAATTTGGATGTTTTTATCGCCTTTTTTCTTCTCAGTCTTTTTTAAAAAAGATTTTTTATTGAAGGAAATGCAACAAAACAGCAGAAAAAAAAAAAAAAAAACACGCATTACAGCCAAACACCAGTATATAGGATGAAGACAGAAATATAAAATCCAAGAAGAAACAAAATACCACAACACATTCCACAATTAAACTTTGGTCCGTCAAATTTAACCCAGTATGAGCGGAGCTTCTGCCCTCTACATGAACAAAAATGGTGGTTGAGCCTGAGGATGTCATAAAGAGCCCTGTTAGTATCTCTGTGATATTTTTTGATGTGAATAAATAGCTAAAAATGGACCCAGGGGAGGTAGGAAGCCTTTGATGGGAGAATGTCATTTCCCGACATATATTGGAGAGCCCTTGACCAGACCGCGACAGACCGATCATAACCTTTAGATGTGCCCATAGCCGTATTTTGTGTTACTTGTGTGAGTTTTTCTAAAATAAATTGATCCCAAATTTTTTCAAACCAGGTTTGAATCGAGGGAGGCGAACTGGCTTTCCAGGTAGAAGCTATGGCTAGTCTTGCAGCTGCTAAAAGTTTGGAAATGAGTTCCTTCTGGGCCTTGGTAGTGGTAGTCAAGTCAAGCAAATCAAGAAGTGCTAGTTTGGGACTCTGTTTTTTTAAAAAAGAACATTAGTCTTGACAGGAAAAAATACAAAAAGGGATCACTGGTTACAAAGTTGTTTTTGTTTTTTTTAAGAACCACAAAAGAAGAAAAACCATCATTAACTTTGTCATTATAAACATTATCTTCCATCTTGCTTTGTGTAACATTTTATAGCAATGCAACGTATTCTTATATGAAATAAAAAGCTTCCTCCTCCGCTTTGAAATATCCATATCGTTTTACAGTTAATCCCCATTCCATTTCACTGAATGTTTTTGTTACCAAATTACCTGGAATTCAGGGTATTTGTGTACTACCAAAACCAATACCACAAATGATATTTTTCTTCTTTCTTCATTATTCTAAGTGAATGTGACACCGAAACGTCCTATAAACTGCTGAGTGGGCTTTGGGGTTCGTTCAGATCCTCTCTGTTCAAGGCAGTCCAGACTTCTGACCTGTCGTCGTGGCGAAGTTTTAATTCTTGAGAACTGCATTGGATTTATATTGGCATCATAAAGCAAGAGAGTTTATTATACCTTTCAGTTCCTTTGCCATTCCTCTATGTAAATATAAATGCCGGTAACGTTTCTTGGGGCAAAATTATCCTGAGATAGCGTGGCTTTTTTAAAAAAAAAAATCCAGCAACAAAGATCACAGAATATTTTCTTTTCTTTTTCCCCAAAAAGAAAACATGGCTTTGATTAAAGTCTTGATCAAAGCATACAACTTGAATTTAAAATGTAAACTTAATCATAAAAAGCTTTTTAGGGGTTCTTTTCTTCTTATCAAGAAGTGGGATCTTTTATTAATTCACAGTTTCATAATCTTATCCTTCTCTCAACATTTCATAAAGGCACTTGTACTGTGGCTTTAAATAATATACACATTTAATTAAATAGGCTCAAACAGATGTTATTAAACAGTTGATTCACAGCGCCACCCTCAGCAGAGTTTTGCCCTTTTAAGCCCATTGAATTCAATGGACTCCAGTTGGCTTGGAAGGATGTAACCCTAGCACTGCATTTATCAGTTATCAGGGCTGTTTTTATATGGGCAAAACCATTACACACATTAACATAATATATTTGTCCTCTCATCCATACCTCCACATTCTGGAGGTAAAGGAAGATACATTGCATCGCTTAGATTTGCTTCCTGATTTCCCCACAGCATCTCTTTGGTCTCTGCTTTTTTTTCTTTCACAATTTCTTTTAGCAGAAGAACATTTCAACTGTTTCAGAAGTTAGCCATATTGGTCTGCCGTACAGGAGTTAGATTTGATTCCAGTAGCACCCTAGAGGCCAAACAAGATTTTCCGGGTATTTGAACTGTTGAATTTCATTAGACCAGTTGCCTATGAAGTAAGGTTAAAGAAGTTAGGGCTTTTTAGCTTGGAGAAATGACAATTGAGGGGTGATACGATAGAGGTTTACAAAATTATGCATGGGATACAATACAAGAACTCATGGGCAGTCAATGAAATTAATGAGCAGCAGGCTTAGAACATATAAAAGGTAGTACTTCTTCACCCAAAGAGTAATTAACATGTGGAATTCCCTGCTGCAGGAAGTGGAGTAGGCTACAAGCATAAACAGTTTCAAGAGGGGACTGGATAAACACATGGAGCAGAGGTCCATCAGTGGCTATTAGCCACAAGATATAGGTAGAATACTGTGTCTTGGGATAGTGATGTTCTGTATTCTTGGTGCTTGGGGGGCAACAGTGGGAAGGCTTCTGGAGTTCTGGCCCCACTGGTGGACCTTCTGATGGCATTTGGTTTTTGGCCATTGTGTGACATGGAATGTTGGACTGGATGGGCCATCGGCCTGATCTAACATGGCTTCTCTTCTGTTCTTAAGTTCAACATGGTCTCTACTGACCATGTTTGCTACAGTTGGCCCCAGCATCTCAAGGTTGTGGTCTGTACCGAGACCCCCACAAGAATTGTAAACCTGGCAGGAATAATCTTTTCATGTCGCACAGCATAACCATCAGTATCCATTTTTCAATTCACGGTTAGGTTTCTGAACAGGAGATGGATGAAGCCATTGCGCGCACCACTCAGCGAGAAAGCAAGGATGTCCCGTCCTCTCAAGTCACAGGTACTGGTGCATGTGCTTATAGCATTGCATCACATCTGGTCCTCGTGATCTACACCGTGGTCTCATACTGCATAGTTTTGTACTACATGTGTTCTGTGCAAAGGAATTCCAAATTCTGTTCCCAGTACCAATTAGACAAGTAAAGTGGGTTTGCTGGGATCTAAGGACCTTTACCCTGACCTGGATAGCCCAGGCTAGGCCAACCTTGTCAGATCTCAGAAGCTAAGCAAGGTCAGGCCTGGTTAGTACTTGGATGGGAGACCACCGAGGAAGTCCAGGCTTGCGAACTCGGAGGCAGCCAATAGCAAACCACTTCTGAGCCTCTCTTGCCATGAAACTCTATGGGGTTGTCATAAGTGGGCTGCAAAGATGGCAAAAAAGGAGGGGGACCCTTATACAGGATCTTACCAGTCACTGCCTCAAAACAGTAACTCTGAAGAATGGGCTATTAGCCTATTATCTCTTCTTAAGTATCTTTATAATTGGGTGCATGTCAGAGCTCTCATAGAGTGGCGGGCTGCCATTTTGTGTCTATGCTGCACTAATGTGTAATATTACAAAATATTCAGTCACTTCAATGATTTTCAAGTAGGACTATTTGCATATTATTTACTTACTTCACATATATCCCATTTTTCTTCCCAAGGACCCAAAGCAGCTTGCATCGCTGTCCTCTCCTAAATTTTTCCTCACAACAACCTTGTGAGGCAGGCTTCCATGGCACAGTGGGGATTTGAAGCTGGGTCTCCCAGCTCCAGGTTGACCCTTGTAGTGCACGAGAGAATGCACACGGTGGACAAACCGCTTGAATGCAAAAGACTGTGTGAAAAGCTTCAGCTGGAAAGCACATCTTGCTAGGCGGGAGAGAAGCCATGATGCAGAGAAACCACTTTCAGCATTGAGTCAAAGATATTCTTTCTGTTGGTGACTCCCTGAGAAAAGGTTCCTTCACCTGAGTCTCCCAGGTCTTAGTGTGATGCTTTAACTGCTACACCAAAAATCTCCACTCTGCCATCTTGTTTGCAGTCTGTCACAACCTCAGAGCCAGTTTGGTGTAATGGCTAAGTGTACGGACTCTAATCTGGGAGAACCAGATTTGATTCCCCACGCCTCCACTTGCAGCTGCTGGATGACCTTGGGCAAGCCAAAGTTCTGTCAGAGCTGTTCTCTCACAGACAGTTCATGAAAGGGCTCTCTCAGCCTCACCTACCTCACAGGGTGTCTGTTGTGGGGAGGGGAAGGGAAAGGAGTTTGTAAGCTGCTCTGACACTCCCAAGTGAAGGGCAGGTTATAAATCCAATCTCTTCTCTTCTTCTCTGCTTACCTCACAAGATTGTTGTGAGGATGAAATGGAATGGGGGAAACCCTCTGTGGTGCCTGAGCTCTTTGGAAGAAGGGGAGAGGAGGGAGTAAAAGAGATACCAATGTGGTCCATTCTGTTTAACAGGGAATCTGCCCAAAAGCCCATCCCCAAGTGTGAAGTCCAAACAGAGCGAAGCCTCTTCCCCTCTGAGCTGGACAATGAAACGCTTCTTGGAGCCAGTGAGTCGGGTTGGTAACAGTCTTAAAATTCAGCAGCATGGTCTTATTTTGAAGGCAAGGTTTAATAAATAATTATTAGTATTGCTTGAGGGGAAAACCTGACGCTGCTTCATGCGTTCATCCAGTGGTACCCATCCAGGGAACGTGGCTCAAAACACACCAAGAATTCCTCGTTTGATTAGGCAGTTCAGAAATAAAAGCATCTGAATTCTGTTTGAATGCAGCAAGCCTCAAGGCGATACTGACAATAACCCTTCGACCTAGAGGTAGAGAATGAGCGAACGGGGGACGGATTGACTCCAGAATGGAAACCAGGACCTTCCATTTGCAAGAGCTGAGCAAGGCTGTCTATGAATGATTCATTACCAGGTTTCCCATGAACATGTGGTGAGGAGAGGCGGCCCCCTTCTGGCCGTGCTCCGCTCCCGAGGCGGACAGCTCTCCGCACTGGGCCAGGTGGCCCGGCTACCCAAGGCCAATCGACGGTCCTCGGCGCTGTGGCTAGTGTCGGGGGCTGACTTTTAATAGGTCACAGTCCTATTTTTTGGTATAAAAAGCCCAGCAGGAACTCATTAGCATTATAGGCCACACCCAACAGCAGAAACTCATTAGCATATTAGGCCACACCCATGCCCACACGGATCATTAGCATATTAGGCCACACCCCCATGCCTTCCCTTGGCTTGTCCAGGCACCCCCGTGCAGGGCATCTTCCAGGGGCCCCCCTGGCCCACCCGCCTCAGAGTCCCCGGGGGGTTAGCTCTCCAGGCCTTCCCTCTGTAGCCGCACACACAGAGGTTTTGACTATAGTGGGCGTGGCCAACTCTGAAGCCAGCCGGAACTCCGTTCCTGTGCGTTCCTGCTCAAAAATAGCCCTGGTGATGCACAAATCTGTGCCCTGTGTGACCCCTTGGCCGAATTGGAATCACACAGTTAGAGTCCAGTATGTCATGTATGTCAGTGCTTGAACAATGGGAACATTAAAGAACACTGGGACCCTTTCTAGCCTCGCTTTTGGAGAGCTAGCTGATAAGGACCATGATTCACATGAAACTTTGCCTTGCAACTCCTAAATGGCATTCCATTCTATTGCGTCCTAATTCCATCTACAAAGGCTTCCGATAACACTTTTGCTTAATATGGCTTCTTATACAAAAAATGCAGTTATAAAATATATATGTCCTGCTATAAGTCTCTCTAATCAGAAGGTTCTAGGTAACATACCAAGATCTGAATCTATTATGATTAAACTTTTGAAGGCACAGTGACAGCTGTCAATATCTATATCAAGGAGAGAGTGTCAGAAATCACATCCAGAAATCACATTCTTTTCCCCTTGCCCTACAGCAGTGAGGGAGCTGCTGTGCTACATATGAAACCCTGACCCAGAATCAGGTCAGAGCAAGGCTGTCAATGATAGGGCATCTTGGAGGTCACTGATTCATAGGGTTGCCATAAGCTGGAAGCAACTTGATGGTATGTAACACACACACACACACACACAGAGTGTAAGAAAATCGGAGAGCGTTTCCAAGGGAGCAGCTTACTGAGCGACTACAGGCCTGACATTGTAACAGGCGTCAGACTGGTTTGGGCTTATTCCTGCCACTGAGTGTTGCCTAAAGCAAAAACCTGGGGAGTAATGTTGGAGATCACTGCAGGAAAAAGAAAAAGGCTTCAGAGCTGCCGCTGCATATTTCCCGTGGGAGTTCTGCACATTCCACCTGCAGAGTCCGAAGTAAAAACAAAATAGCAGGGCAGATGGGTGATGTGCTAAGATCTTCTGTGTTGGGGGTGCATGTTGACAACAGGGATTCAGGTGCATTTCGACAACAGGGATTCGGGTTGGGGGACTGTTAATTCCTTGCTGTGGAACCATCCTCGAAGCGCTTGGCATCGGCTTACTTGGCCATCCTTCCTTTCAGCAGGGGTCCGTCAATTCTGAATCGGAGCTTTCCCAGTACTTCTTGCAGGATGGGGCTGGCCATTTGTCGCTTTCGGAGACGACGATAACGGGCTCCAGCGACGAGGAGCAGCTGCGTCCCAAGAGCGGGAGCAGCTCCCTGGACGAGAGTTTCCCTTCTCCTGGCACTCCAAGTAAGCAATCGTCACAAAGGTGTGGCAGCCACTTCCTGTGTTGTTGTACTACTGTTACAGCTTAGGTGGTCAGATTATGAGAGGGGACGGTCCCCCCTCTGGGGGAAGTATGGGACACCTGGGAAAGGAGTGCAAAGTGCTGGGGACAGAAGGGCTTGCGAGGCAAATTAAGGGTTTGATTCAACAACATGCAAGCTGTTGCACGTATGGAAATGTTCCCTAGGTGCAGTAGGGCTCCGCATCCGATGCTTATTGCTTCTGACATGGAAAGGGGACAGATTTTTCAAAGCCTTTTCTCATGCGGGAACTCTCAAAGGTACGCAAAGTGGATGTGTAACACATCCAGAGATGCTCCCAGCTTAGGACATACCCACACCCCGATCTCGCATGCCCCGATGAATGGGGAGTGGGGTTTTTTGCAATTCTCCTCTCCTGTAGGAGACCTCCAACATCCCCTTAGTGCTGTTCCTATGTCACAGACGTCCCTTTTGGGAAGGCTAGTCAGGCCAGGATCTAGGAAGCCATCAAGCTATCCAGTTATCTTGGTTGCCAATCTTTAGTCCACCAGAATCCATTAAAGGGGGAGAATCCATTAAATGAGAAGAAGAAGAGAACAGATTGGACTTATACCCCACTCAGAGTCTCAGAGCGGCTTACAAACTCCTTTCCCTTCCCCTCCCCACAACAGACACCCTGTGAGGAGGGTGGGGCTGAGAGAGCTCTGACAGAAACTGCTCTTTTCAAGAACAGCTCTGATAGAACTATGGCTTGCCCAAGGTCATCCAGCAGGTGTAAGAGGAGGAGTGGGGAATCAAACCCGGTTGTCTCAGATTAGAGACCACACACTTAACCACTACACCAAACTGGTGTAAACTAAGATTATTCTCTTCCAGAATAAAAAGAGGATCCTAAGCATTGTGTCCTTTTTGTGGATATTTTTGTTATAAAAGCATATATACCTATAAAAATAAGTGGCAGGTTTTAAGGAGCAAGCATGGATAAAATTACAACCAGACTCTCTGGCATCCTTTCAGGCTCTCTGTCCTCCTAGTTGATTCTACCTCCTTGATTAAACTAAAAGTCCATGAAGTTTTCCACAAAGCTTCACAGAGCAACATGCTAGGACGTTGTGACTCCGTTGGCATCAACAATTTCAGCAGGCAGGATTAGCTCCTTCAGGCAGGGACAGGGTGACCTCCCCAGGCTCCACAGTCTGTATTTTCAGAAATGCTGAGCAGGGCCATCACGTACAATGGAAAGTTCTACGTCCTCAAAACCAGAGTAGTCAGGACTTCGTGGCATCATACGGTGGCCAACCATGACACCTGGGGTCCCCCTATCCTGCAGGAGCAGCATTTCAAGGGGCACTTGGAGCTATAGCAGGAAGGAAAAGGGAAGGAGGTCCTGCTCCATGGTCAGAAATACCTGTGAGAGATGCAAGCCAGGATTTGGATTTTTTGGGGGGGGGGGGGGGTTTCTGGAAGAAGAGAAGAGAAGAGATTGGATTTATACCCCACCCTTAACTACCCAAGGGAGTCTCGGAGCGGCTTACAAACGCCTTTCCCTTCCCCTCCCCACAATAAGACACCCTGTGAGGTAGGTGGGGCTGAGAGACCTCTGACAGAAACTGCTCTTTTTTCAAGAACAGCTGTGCCAGAACTATGGCTTGCCCAAGGTCATCCAGCAGGTGCAAGTGGAGGAGTGGGGAATCAAACCCGGTTCTCCCAGATTAGAGTCCGCGCACTTAACCACCACACCAAACTGGCTCTTTTAGCAGAGTATGGATTCTCTGTATTTGTATACATATATTGTCTAATTTTTTAATTGTAAATACACACATATATGTATGTATCTGTTCTTTCTTAGCTACCAAAGAATCAGGCCTCTGCGATTCGCCCGCTCGTGGAAACTCACCAGCTCTTACGAACAAGCACAGGGAAGCCGTTCGGCATGTGAGTTTCAGCGATAGCCCCAAAGGCGGCCGTACTGCGTTCCAGAGGCAGAGGAGGATTGCTTTCTACGATGGCGATGCCAGCGACGAAGATGACTTTGCCAAGCAAGATGGTGCTCTGTTCCAGAGAGGACCTAAGCCTAAAGGCCAGAAGAAGGCAGAGGGCAACTGTGAGGTCATCACGGCCACTGGTCCGACAGAAGGTGTCGATGCAAACCGGGAGAAAGGATTTTCAGCGGATAGCCACCATGCGTCAACTGCGGGCATCTTCAGGGATTCAGTGGAGAGTGCCAAGGAGTCCCCGGTCAAATCACTGGATCCCTCGCATCATGCGCCAGAGCATCACCTGAGCTTGAAGGACTACCGAGAGGCACAGCTGGAATCTAAGAGGTCCCCTAAACTGGAGCACAAAGCAGTCACTAGAGTTAAAAGCCTCATGAGCATCGAGTACCATGGGGTCCCGAGGCCGAAGAACGAAGAACATGGCCCTTGCCATAAGCCCGTTGGGAGGGCGCTCCCGAATATCTGGAGGAGCGAGGCACAGGAGAGTCCCCTCGGGCTGAGCCGTATGGAGGTGGTTACCCTGACTCGGAATGAAAAGGAGTCCTTTGGCCTGGATCTGGAGATCCATGCCACTCCCTTGCGGGTCGTGATAACTGGGTTGCGCCCTGGTGGAGCAGCTGAAAGGGTAATGTTCTGAATACTCAACTTTGAAGTTTTCCATCTGTGTGTTTCTTTTCCCTGGTGGGCTATTAATGCTGAACAGAACCGAGATTTTGCAAGCAAATTTAAGAGTTACCTCCACGGCAATGTTAAATCTGTGAGTGCAGTTTCTGTCTTCCTCCAGTGCTATTAAGTTGAACAATCCTAGCCGACTTAACCTCTGAAGAGTCAGTAGAAAAATACACTGTTCTGAAATATCCTTCCTTTTCCTTTTTTCCTTTTTGTAAGGGCTCCAGGGAACATTGCCTCCCTGCGACTTTAGCAGAAAGAGTGATCATATCCATGTAGCGTGGAAGTCATTTAGAAGCGGGAAAGTATTAAATTTTCAAAGGCACGCAGCTTCTTGAAAGGGAAGAACAACTGGATAGCCATTTAAGTTTTAAAAATTTAACACTTTATTATTTATTCATCTCTCTCTCTCTCTTTTTTTTAAATCTAGATGTGATTTTCAAATTATGGCCTCCTCTCAGAGAAGCCCATGGAAATTCATTAGTGTAAGGTAGTGGGATAACTGGAGCTAGCCCAGAGGGGTTCTTTTAAGCAATACAGAGACATGTATATCAGTGTTATTAGTGATGATCGCTTGGAACGGAATTTCTGTGTTCAGATGTAGTTTCCCCTCTGATTGTCAGCTAAACGACAGGGGGAAAAGCCCTCAGCTTGACTTGTGCTTGGCTCGGGAGCAGCTCAGAGTCCTCTTACCGGCCATGCTCGGAGACAGAATGAAGTACAGTGTAATCCATGACAGCTCAGTGACTGAACGCGAGTTGGCTGACAGAAGGTCCCCGGTTCAATCCTGGCAGGCATCTGCAGGTAGAAACTTCAGAGAGCTGCTGACAGTCAAATGAGACAACATTGGCCCTGACCTGGACAGCCCAGGCAAGCCCCAACTCCTCAGCTCTCGGAAGCTAAGCAGGGCCGACCCTGGCAAGTACTTGGGTGGGAGACCTCCAAGGAATACCAGGGCTGGGAATGTTTTTAATTATGTTTTTAATTATGTATAGCAAGCCACTTTTCTGAGCGTCCAAGCCCCACTGGGGGTTGCCATAAGTCAGTCACACACACAAGTCATACACACACACACACACACAAAACCCCCCAATAAGGCAATATTGGGCTGGAGAGAAGAATGGTTTTAGTATAAGGTAGTTTCATATGTTGTCAGTTTGGTGTAGTGGTTAAGTGTGCGGACTCTAATCTGGGAGAACCGGGTTTGATTCCCCACTCCTCCACTTGCACCTGGCTGGGTGACCTTGGGTCAGTCACAAGCTCTGGCACAGCTGTTCCTGAAAGGGCAGTTTGTGTCAGAGTTCTCTCAGCCCCACCTACCTCACAGGGTGTCTGTTGTGGGGAAGGGGAAGGGAAAGGAGTTTGTAAGCTGCTCTGAGACTCCCAAGTGAAGGGCGGGGTATAACTTCTTCTTCTTCTTCTTCTTCTTCTTCTTCTTCTTCTTCTTCTTCTTCTTCTTCTTCTTCTTCTTCTTCTTCTTCTTCTTCTTCTTCTTCTGGCAGCTCGTACATTTTCTATGACAGTTTCTCTTGGTCTTTTGGGGGGTAGCTGTGTTTATCTGTAGTAGAAAAGCCAGTAACTCCTTAGAGACTGATAAGATATTCAAGGTGTAAGCTTTGGAGAGTCAAAGTTCCCTTCATCAGATATCTGATGAAGGGACCTTTGACTCTCTGAAGCTATACACCGAAAATCTTGTTAGTCTCTAAGAAGCCACTGGACTGGAATCTAGCTCTTGGTTTTTGGCATGCCTTGATTGGCCGAGGGGAAAAGAATCATGTGAAGAAAGTTTGGCCTTCTGCTGGTTGCATTAATTCGCGGTGCTGAGAAGGTAGTGAAATAACTCCATATTTTTTCACGTGTCCTTTGCTTGCTTGCTTGCGGTCTCTCCCTTAATTAATCTGCCTGCCAACACGGATTGATAGCTCCCGAGCAAGATTTCTGCATACCTTCTGAATTCACAGAGAATGACACATTCATAGGATAAAAGGAATTGCCTTATGCGGAACTGTCTAATAGGCCACCTAGCTGAATGCTGGCTTTTCTGATTAGCAGAAGCTCTAAACCAAAAGCCTTCCCTAGGCCATCTACCTGAGATCATCTATCACAAGAGGCCAGGAGGTGCTGAACCACTGAGCTGCGGCTGGAAGAAGCCCAAAGGCCTCAAAATCCAACTCTGTGTCCCGAATCAGGGTCTTCCACAGGTCCAAGCTCAAGGACTGCCAATTAACCCCGTGTAATCTAAACCACAGTATTCTTGAAGGGGGGTTAAAAATGGGATGATTGGTTCCTGTGTAAACGTAAACAGTTTACTAAGGGCACTTTCCACTCACACTGAACAGGACAGCCCAAAAGACATCCAGCTGTCCTCAGCCCGAGCCAGGGCCTTTTCGGGCCTGGCCCCAACCCGATGGAACTCTCTGCCGAATAACATCCATGCCCTGCGGGATCTAATGCAGTTCTGCAGGGTTTGTAAGGCAGAGATGTTCTGCCAGGCTTCTAACTGAGGCCAGCGATGGGTTCCATGTTGTCTGGTACTCCCCCACCATTTCCTTCCTCCTCTCATGAGGCAGTGGAACAATCTGGAGTCTTTTAGCGCCATCTGGAAATGTTTTTTAATTGTGTATAACTATTATTGTTTTAAATTACCTTACTGATTCGTGAATGTGCTTTATCATTGTTCGCTGCCCTGAGCCTTGTTTGCACAGGGGAGGGCGGTCTAAACGTTTAATTTATAAATAAATAAATAAATATAGTACACTTTCAATCCGCTTTCAGTGCAGTTCAGTGATCGTTTGCAAGTGGATACTGCCGTTTCAAACAGTAAAGTCCAGTTGCCAAGTGCATTGAGAGTGGATAGAAAGTGCGTTATTCAGTGTGTGTGTGTGAAAATTCCATTAAGTGACAATACCAAAGGACCGCCATCGTTCAGTCACTCATCCAAGGACTAGATGCCAGAGTAGCTGTGTATTGCTTACTGTAGAACTAGAAACAAGGAATCACAGTGGGTTATGCTTGCTTCCAGGAAATACATTCCTCTGAAACGGCTCCTGATTTTGTTTAACGATTACCATTTTAACAGGCATCTATGGGAAAGATGACTGCTGGAGATGAGATCCTTTCCATCAATGGCATCCCAATTCACGAATTCACCTATGATGATGTCTGTCAATACGTACGGTGTCTCCCCACATCTATCATGCTACATGTGCAGAGGCCTGTTTCTGGTAAGAGAGCCACAGCCCCTTTTCTGTCATAAGAACATAAGAGAAACCAATCTTGGATCGGGCCAGTGGCCTATCTAGTCCAACACTCTATGTCACACAGTGGTCAAAAATACCAGGTGCCATCAGGAGGTCCAGCAGTGGGACCAGGACACTAGAAGCCCTCCCACAGTTGCCCCCCCAAGCACCAAGAATCCAGAGCATCACTTGCCCCAGCCTGAGAGTTCCTATCTCTACCTTGTGGCTAATAGCCACTGATGGACCTCTGCTCCAGATGTTTATCCAATTTCCTCTTGAAGCTGTCCATGCTTGTAGCCTCCGCCACCTCTTGTGGCAGTGAATTCCATGTGTGAATCACTCTTTGGGTGAAGAAGTACTTCCTTTTATATGTTCTAACCCGACTGCTCAGCAAATATTCTGCACTGTGGATTTTGAGTCCGGGAGATCCAATGTCTGGGTCAAGAGGTCCCTTTAAAAAAAATAAAGCACTAGTTGTGTGTAGTGTTCCCTCTAAGCTGAGTTAGTGTGAGCTAGCTCACAATTATTTAGCCTCCGGCTCACACATTTTTGTCTTAGCTCAGGAAAGATGCAGTAGCCAAATTGCTTGTCCATAACTTTAATGCCAGTAGCTCACAAAGTAGAATTTTTGCTCACAAGACTCCACAGGTTAGAGGGAGCATTGGTTGTTTGTCGTGTTGCCATTTAGGTAGCTCAGTGAATAAAACTCCTTTGCTTTCTTTTTCATGCAGCTCTGAGCAGGCTCACAAATCTCATTGCGTCTTCAGAAGCAGAGGAGATGGTTCAACAGGATCCGACCGACATTCTCATGATTGACGAAGAAACCAGCTTTGCCCGTCATAAAGAACTTTCGCATGGGGACAATCTGGATTATGCATCAGGAAGGGCAGCGCCACCATCTGATGCCAAGACCAAGGAGCAACCAACAGATGCCTTCGCAACCGGCTGTGCCACGGATAGCACTGTGGTTCCAGTTGCTGATACAGATGACTTCCTTGGCAAATGCAATTTGTTGGAAGAAGACGATCCCAAGTGTTCATTAATTAGGGCCAGATGCACCAAGGAAGACGCTTCTGGGCTGGCAGAAGATCATGGTGCTAATTCTCGATCAGATCTTGTTAAGAATGACGTGGTTGGAAGGCCACTGAATTGCACAACGAATGCAAAAGAAATCTTGGGGTTTTCTGCCCTAGATTCCATTAGCCCCAGCAAGGTTTTCACTGTGAATCAAACCCGCTTGAGTAACTATTCCAGGAATTTTAGCAATTTAAATGAAGATGCTTTGGCTGGAATGGAAATCGAGGACAGCGAGGTTTCAGAATCTATGTACGCGGCTGCAGACGATTCCAGCTCAGATACAGAATCTGTTGTGGAAGCTCCTGGTCTTTTGGGTGGTTCTTCTCGTGACGATCCCTTGGAGACACATAATACTACTGAGTCAGATGAGGAGCAGATTGAAATTTGCTGTTTGAATAACGAGCAACAACATTTTACTCAGCGGCTCCCATCTACTACAAAAGTATTTCATCACCCAACTGAATGCAGTCCTTCGGACCAGGTTTTACCAGCAGAAAGCATGGCAGAAATCAGTGCCCCGGAAATATCCAATGGGAAACCCCCCTTGGAAGAGCCACAGTCTCCAAGCTCCAATGCACAACATGCCGCTCCATCCACTGCCTTTCATTCTCCTTCTCAGGTTTCTCCGCCAGGTATAGATAGGTCAAACCATGCGCTGGATAACCATGCAATTGACTCTTCCCGTGACAATGTTGCCTTAAGGAAACAAGGGGGGATAAGCCAAGAGAGGCTTACGGAAACACGCGAGACTCCTAAACATAATGCTCAAGAGGCACATTTGTGCATGGCAAAAAATGTCAATGGTTGGGACAGTAGGTTTGTCAACCATAATACAACGCCAAAGTCAAATACAGAAAATGATTTTGGAACAGATTATGGCAAACACTCAGCCGGTTCTCATTCTACTTTGACAAAAAGGGGAACTGGTGATTCAACCCAGTTGAGTAAACCAGAGACCAGTCTTATAGATTGTGCATCACAAAGAATGGGGCATGTCCCCAAATCACCCCTCCTGACAAAATCAAAAGATCTGAGTAAAGCCACTGTTCCTCATGACTTACCAGGGAAAAACGAAAAAGCCAGCGCAGTTCCCGCATCAAAATGTTCAAATGCAAAGATTCAAAGTTCTTCCAATCAGTGCAAAGGCCTTTCAGTCCCATGCAGTCCATCCTCTTCCAAAAAACTGCCTCAGGAAACTCGAGGGATTCCCCAGAAGAGTATTGTGGAAACTCTCTCGAATAACCTGCGAAACAAACCAGGGCCAAAGTTAAAGGGCCTTACGATTAAAAGTAAAGCCAAGGCAAATCCAGATGCCGCCGGTGCTCTTCCCGCCAAAGGTGGTGGCACTGATCAGAAAAAACCTTCCCTTCCTGCCCAGCTGTCACCCAGGCTCCTTACAAAGAAGGTCACGGCACTCCGTAATTTAGCCGCACATTTGGAACCGCATGTCAGGAACCTGGCCTCAGGCTCCAGGGCCCTTCAGGAGGAGGGAGAGATGGCAAATAAGTCCTCTTCAGCAGTGCCTCAGGAATCACTCTTGGCCGTGCCGAGTGGTGAGAACACCGCTGTGAAGAACAACAAAGATAAATCCATTAACCATTTGGAACTGAGCAACGCAGAGGAACAGAAACAGTTGCCAGTTCCAATTCAGGTGGTCACAAATAACGAAAAGGCAGAGGACGCTGATACTGATGACTACCAAACTAGAGAAGGTCCAGCCCTGATGAACGCGCCTTCCAAAATGACAACCAAGAGCAACTACACGAGTGACCAAACTGAAAACCATGGAATGGGTGAGAGTCCGCCAAATCCCAATGGATGTGAAATTAGCCCCCTAGGAACTTACAGTGCCGGGTCTTCTAAAACAGAGTCTTCCAGTCTTCTTCAGTCACAAACTCAGCAGGAGCAATCAGGTCAAGAAATTCAACGCAGTTTCATCGAGGTGAGACTCTCTCCCTCTCCCTTCACATCAACCTCATTGATTCTGCAGGAGTCCCCAGAGAAGGAAGACGGTACCAATAAGAAGATCGACCAACTAGAGCGTGGGGTGCACAATTCCATGCGGAACGCCTTTGAGGAAGAAACCATACACAGTGCATTAAAACCTGTGACAAGGACGTACTCAATGCCCACTCAGCTATCGAATCATTTTAGAGAGGAGAGTGGCATCATGAATGTGCCAGCCCATCACGTTCAGGCTATCCTGGGCAACCCTTCAGGTGAAAAGTACTCTCATTCGGAGATAGGTGTGCTGAAAATTGTCCATCTCAATCTGATGAATGGCCGGAGCACCCAAGGTGGCAAAGAGGCACTCAACAGTATCCCAAAACCAAACACTCAGGAACTGCCGTTGACCAACGACAACAGCAATCGCATTACGGACAAATTAAGGACGTGCAGGAGGAATTATTACTATTACGAACTCAACTGGCCGCATGACCCCGTTTCGTCTTTCTCCGTGAAACAGAGAATCAAATCTTTCGAGAACCTGGCCAGTTTGGACAGGCCTATAGTGAAAGCCATTGACATACATTCCACTGCTCTCAATTCTAAGCTCCCCATTGGTCGGAGGCTGTCCGGCGGCGTTTCTGCGGTTTCGGCCACCAGTGTCAATGACGCGGTTCAGGCACTGAGACGAAGCCTGAGCTCCTACTGTGAAAGTGAAGGCCCGGCCTCCTCACGGATGACAAAATCCTCAACCACCCCAATGTTAACCCATCTGCAGCAGAATTCTACGGAGAACAACATCCCAGATGGCACTCCCTGGGAGGACAGTAAACGAGATGGTGCTTTGGGAGGTCCAACCAGTTTGCAACCATCTACTCCCATCTCCCGAAGAAGCAGGGCCTCGGGAGGGCACATCAGACACACACCCTTATCCCGTTCCAAGATCCGGGAGCTCAGGGCTTTGAGCATGCCTGATCTCGACAAGCTGTGCAGCGAGGACTTCTCCGTGGAATCCGACTCTCCCCATTTCCAGAGCGAGCTGGAAATCGCGCCTGCAACGCGGCCTCTTGGCCTTCCTGTCGAAAGCGCTTCCAGCCTGAATGAATGCATGGAGCTCTCCAGCCTCGGGATGACAAACAGACAGCGTTCAAAAGAAAGCAGTCCCTGGACCAGTGGCTCTGGCACTCCTGGGTCAGCATCGGATGAGGAACTACTGCAGCATGAAGCTTCCCTAAACAAAATGCACTTGGGGAAGAGCTGGTCCATCAGGTTGGTTTCACCGTTTGCCTAATGTCATTGGTTAGGATCAGGACTGGTCCAAGCTTGATAGCCATATAGCAAAAAAAAAAATTCGTAGCCCCGAGAAACGTGGCCTGTGTTCAGGGCTGCTTTGGTGGTGGGGAGAGCTATCAAGTTGCAGCTGATTTATGGTGACCCCGTAGAGTTTTCAAAGCAAGAGACGAACAGAGGTGGTTTGCCATGGCCTGCCTCTGCATAGCATCCCTAGACCTCCTTGGTGGTCGCCCATCCAAGGACTAACCAGGCTGACCCCAACTGGCTCCCAAACTGTGATGCCCTCGGGCTACTCTGGGCTATTTGGTGGTGAAAAGTTCCATCAAGCTGCAACTGATTTATGGTGTTCCTGTAGGTTTTGCATGGCAAGAGGCAAACAGAGGTGTTTTACCGTTGCCTGCCCTGGACTTCCTTGGTGGTCTCCCACTCAAGTACTCACCAGGGCTGACCCTGCTTAGCTTCCAAGATCTAAAGAGACTGGGCCACCCTGGTCTATCCAAGTCAGGGCTGGGACTGCCTTGGTGTGCACTCACCTTGGAAAATCTGGCCCAGACATTTTGGTTCTGCAACCTACAAACTTGGGGAAATGTGCATGCGTTCTTGGGTTGTTGGGGTTTTTTAAATAATGACTTGAGCAGTTTTATAACTGTGTGTAATTTATTCTGAGTGTGTTAGGCATGGGGAGAAGCAAGGGTCAGGGAGCACACTTAAGGGCCAGCCCTGGCCTCCGAAAATGTCTTTCAAACATCTGGTATCTGAGTAGGGATGGGGAGAAACCGGCTCACGGGCTAAAGTTGATAATGAATTTTGGCAGGTTCATGGTTCGCAAAAAAGAGTTTTCGGCTAAATATTAGGAAGAACTTCCTGACAGAGTGGTTCCTCAGTGCAACAGGCTTCCTTGAGAGGTGGTGGGCTCTGGAGGTTTTTAAACAGAGGCTAGATGGCCATCTGACAGGAATGTTGATTCTGTGAACTTGGGCAGATAACGAAGAGGGAGGGCAGGAAGGGTTGCCTCAGTGGTTAGTTCTTGTGGCCCTTTCTTACGTGCCCAGGGAAATGCTGATCACCACTTTGGGGTCAGGAAACAATTTTCTCCAGGCCAGTTTGGCCAGGGATCCGGAGGTTTTTTGTTATCTTCTGGGCATGGAACGGGGGTCACTGGGTGTGCGGGGGGAAGGTATTTGTGAATTTCCTGCATTGTGCAGGGGGTTGGACTAGAGGACCCTGGAGGTCCCTTCCAACTCTGTGATTCTGTGATTTCGCGAACTGAAGAACCACCATGAACTTCGACAAATTTTGATGCAGTTCATGGTGGTTCACGGACAGCAGAAAGCAAGGGTACAGTGGCTCCGAGCCATTTAAACCCCTGCTTTCTGCTCTTCACAAAAAACAGCTGAGCTCAGCTGTTTGGTTTAAATGGATCAGAGCCATTTAAACGGCTGCTTTTTGTTCCATGTTGCTTTTTGCGGGGAGCAGAAAGCAGGGGTTTAAACTTTAAATGGCTCACGAACCGATATGAACCAGCTCAGTTCATGAACTGGCATATCAGTTCATGGCAAAAATACAGTTCGTGCTCATCCCTATTTCTGAGCTCAGCAGAATTGCCTGCAGCCTTCCAGACATGTTTTTACAGCCATAAGAGCTGAAAGCAGAGGTTCTTAGGAAATTAAATTCCACAGTCGAGAACCCATTCTGTACTTTTCCTGCACTGCTGCAGAATTGCAGGGTGTACTTTGCTCTGCCTGCTTTACATTGTGTCTTGCTTTCCAATACCCTCACTGCAGATACCATGTTAGACATGTAAGCAAACACATAAAGCTGTCTTTTATTGAGTCAGCCCACTGGTCTATCAAGGTTAGCATTATCTGCTGTGTGACAGGGTCTCAAGCAGAAGTCTTTCATATCACCTACGTCCTGATCCTTTTAACTGGAGATGCTGGGGATTGAGCCTGGGACCTTCTGCATGCAAAACCGATGCTTTACCACAGAGCACTGGCTCCCATTTCTCCCTTTCTCCTTTCCCCATTGTCCTTTCTGCTATCGTTTCTCCTTCTGTCCTGATGCACGAAGTCTCTGCTTCTTCCCAGCACCACCTCTGGCTGTTCTTATTCAGTGCATTGCTCATTCCTTCCCACCCTCCCTTCTTGGGGCCGTCTCTATTTCACCACTACCCCCTGCCCCTCTATCTTTTTCCTCTTTGGCTCCTCCCCCCCCCCACAGCATCTCTATGAATTTGGTTCTTGGAGACCCACACACCCACCGACTCGGTTTTGATCAATCCCACTGTGTGGCTGAGAAAGAGGATCTTCTGTTTCCACCAATAGCAAATTGTCTATAATGACGACCTTCTCGTTTTAATTATACATTTATTCATGTTCTTTAACCGCCAGAGCCAAATGTGGTTCATGAGTCACTTTGCCGTTTTTCACATTTTTTTTTTTTAAATGCAGGTGGAAAGAGGGAGAATTTTCCAGGCAACGTTTTCCTCCCCAGAATCCAAGAGGAGGCTGGGTGTCTTTTGTTTTCGTTTTTGCTTCTGTTTCCATTGTTGTAACTCTTCTAGAGCAATCTCCAGCCGTGTTACATCCTTCTAAGCAGGGCTCTTTTTGTAGAAAAAGCCCAGCAGGAACTCATTAGCATAATAGGCCACACCCAACAGCAGAAACTCATTAGCCTATTAGGCCACATCCCTGACAGCACAGCTCATTAGCACATTAGGCTGCACCCCCATGTTATCAGAAGTCTGGTCATCCAGCCACACCCACCTTCAGCTTCTTATTCTGTTTACCTTGTTTGTTGTCAAAACCCAGGGCTTCTTTTGTAGCAGGAACTCCTTTGCATGTTAGGCCACACACCCCTAATGTAGCCAATCCTAATGAGTTTCTGCTGTTGGGTGTGGCCTGTTATGCTAATGAGTTCTTGCTGGGCGTGGCCAACTCGGGAGCCAGCCAGAACTCCGTTCCTGTGCGTTCCTGCCCAAAAATAGCCCTGCTTCTAAGTGTACGGAGCCCTCACCTGGATAGCCCAGGCTACCTGATCTCGTCAGATCTCAAAAGCTAAGCAGGGTCGGCCCCCGTTAGGACTTGGATGGGAGACCACCAAGGAAGCCCAGGGTTGCTACGCAGAGAGGCAGGTGATGGGAAACCACCTCTGAACATCTCTTGCCTTGAAAACCCGGCTGCGACTTGGCACACACACAAAAAAAAGTGTATGGGAAATGCTGATCACCACTTTGGGGTCAGGCAGCAATTTTCCTCCTGGCCAGTTTGGCCAAGGATCCTGGAGTTTACTACTTGCTGTAGATTTTCCGGGTTGTGTGGCCGTAGTCTTGGCATTGTAGAACGTGACGTTTCGCAAGTGACTGTGACTGGCATCCTCAGAGGTATACCACAGACAGATGGAGTACTCTCTGTGTCAAGGTGAGAAGAAAATGGTAGGCAGGTAATTTATATCTACTCCAGAAGGTGGGGTAAGGGCTAAGTCATTATCTTGTAGGAGTTCCCCTGGCTAAGAACATGCTAATGGAGGAGCTTTCCTGGGGAGGTTCTTTTGCTTATGAATTGTTTCCTGTTTCCTGGAGGTTTATTGCCATTTTCTGGGCATGGAACAGCGGTCACTGGGGTGGGGGGGGGAGGGGATTATTTGTGAATTTCCTGCATTGTGCAGACTAGATGACCCTGGAGGTCACTTCCGACTCTATGATTCTAAGTCAATGGGCTTAGAAGGGTATAACAGTATTTAGGATTGCACTGTAAGACATTTTTAGTAAAAGGCAAGAAGAGGAATCTCTTCCAAGCCTCCTTCTGAGACCAGTGCATGCAGAGGAAGGATTCAGACCTAGCAGTCATATGGTTGTTTCAAGTCCCTGTCTTGTCTGAAACAGACTTTTAGTGGCTTGTGTCCTATCAGACCTGATATTTCAAGATAATGTAAATTTCTCCACGTCTTAGCCGTGTCTACCTTCAAGGGGTGGGGAGTCTTTGAATTGTTCATATTATACCATTGAACGCATCCTGCAGTCTTACTCAGTACAACTTTCCCCCCCCCATTTATATTTGCTTTAGCTTGGATGAACTCTTGGTCTCCACTCTGGACCAGCAGAAACTGCAATCTGTTTTGTCTTCAGTGACAACCAAGTGTGATTTTTCTTCTTTACTCCAGGAGGCCAGAGCCCAAGCAGAGGTAAGCCTCGGCCAGACCAAAACGAAAACAATCCCCGATGTTTCCTGTGGAAAAGACGAGTGATGGTTAAAGGAAGACAGTTCCAGGGCAGTCACAGGAACGCTTTCCTGGAAATCAGCCCCCATCCCCGCTCAGGATCGCTCTTTATATGTATCGTTTCATATTGTGTGATCAGCCTCAGTGATAAAGGCGGGCTATAATCAGTGTTCCCTCTAAGCTGAGTTAGTGTGAGCTAGCGCACAGGTTTTTAGCCTCCAGCTCACAAATTTTTGTCTTAGCTCAGGAAGGACGGCTCCAGAGCAAACTAATTTATGCAGTAGTCTAGTCAAATCGTCTGCTTCCAACTTTAATGCCAGTAGCTCACAAAGTAGCATTTTTGCTCACAAGGCTCTGCAGCTTAGAGGGAACATTGGCTATAATTAAATATGTATTTCTCCCCCATCTCCTACATACAGAAGGGCACAAGGTAGTTCATTTGAATTTCAGATGAGTGGATGTTTTCTGAGTTCTTCCTATTATCCTGGATAGCCCAGGCCAGAACTCAGAGTCAGCCACGGTTAGTCCTTGGATGGGAGACCACCCAGGAAGACGGGGATTGCTATGCGGAGACAATAGCAAACCACCTTTGTTTGCCTCTTGCCTTTGAAAACCCTACAGGGTTGACATAACTCAGTGGCACTTTCCACCACCCTTATCCCAGTACCCATCTTAGAGCCATGAAAGCATAACAGGAGCCACAGGTACACAAGTGATTAGCCAAACCCTTTGTTATCCCTGTATTTTGTGGCCCATGATCAGTGCTACCTATGCACTGTTCCCAGTGGCTACCCACTCCTAAGCTGCCATCAGTCTTCTTCACCGTCTCTCTACACAGTCCCAGGTGGGGGGTTCTGTGCCTGCAGAGAAGTTGATCAGGCTCACCCAGTTCTAACGCTGTCAGTGTCTATCAGTGCTCAGATCCATCTTAGGAGATCTGTTTGGTGTAGTGGTTAGGAGTGCGGACTCTAATCTGGGAGAACCGGGTTTGATTCCCCATTTCTTCACATGCAGCTGCTGGTGTGACCTTGGGTCAGTCACAAGTTCTTTCAGAGCTGTTCTCTTAGAGCTCTCTCGGCCCCACCTACCTCACAGGGAGTATGTTGTGGGGAGGGGAAGGGAAGGGAAAGGAGATTGTAAGCCGCTCTGAGACTCCCTTGGGTAGTGAAGGGCAGGGTATAAATCCAATCTCTTATCTTCTTTCGTGCAAGCATCCTGGAAAGAGCACCCAGCTGTAGATGTTATCTGTATAAATTGCACTGATTTCAAGGCGACGTCCATTTGAACGTGGGCCCAAATTGGTAACTGTATTCTGGCACTCTCACTCACTGGAGCTGGACTATGGTGCTGTTCTTTAATCCCAGGCTAATAGAAATATGAGAAAGCAAGCCGGGAATATTTAGGAACTGGTGGAACTTCCTTCTGCTCTCATTCCTGACTTCGCATCGGGCCATCCAAATCCCACACTTCACTGCTGAAAACTGTGTAGTAATTCATTAATTTCAGCTCCCGTGGCTAGACTGCATGGGCTGTTGCGTAAGACATACACAAGGCAAAGCTTCAGTATACTTAACTTTATGTAAAGGATTTCTATCAAACCACGGCTCTAAATAATTTAGGTTATAATTTTTGTTGCCTTTGTTAAAGGATTCCAAGTCCATTGTCCAAACAGGCTTATTTAGTTTACGTCAGAAAGCAAAGGGTAATTTCTGACGTACAGAATGGGTGAAGCGCAGAAGTGTGTGTGTGTGGAGGGGTGCAGCAAATATGTTCTTCATTTAAGCAGAACTGAAGACTGAGAACGCTGCAATTTTCCTGAAGCCAGCTATTAGGCACTGTCTTTGCGATGGCTAGCAGTGTGCTGCTTCCTCGGGAGGAGGCGGATCCATTCCCCCCCCCAATCAGGCCCCCTAAAGCCTCACTCCAATCGGGTCCCAGGACCCTTCTCCCAGTTTACAGTAAAGGAATTCTGCTGTTCTTCTCGAATACCTGCAATCAGATTCTAGACACAGACGTGAAAAATAGGACCGCTCGCTGCCGTACGTGGCTTGCCAGTTGGGTGCTGGCCAGCCAGTCTTTCCACAGTCCCGAGTTAAGAACACACTAAGTTGTTCCAAACCATGATTGAAGACAAACACTCCAGTCGGAGAAGGAATCTGGCTAACCAGGTCTGAGCTTCCTTCCTCGGGACGGAGGCTGCCAGCCGGACACACACACATACACACACTCTCTCTCTCTGTGGGAACAAAATCTGTGATTTTTCAGTGCTGGTTTCCACTTCAGGGCGGAGTCATGTGGGTCTGCAGTGGAGCACTTGGCTCTGCATGCAGAAGGTGTCAATGTTCAAGTCTCTGGCCTTTCGCACTGATGATCTTGCAGGTGTCAGGAAAAACAGCGTGCTCTGCCTAAGACCCAGAGAGCTGCCACCAGTTAGAATAGCAAATATTGTGTTGAATTGACCAACAGTCTGGTTTTGGTGTAAGGCAGCTTCATATGGTTATTTTTTTAAATGAATACTGAGTTTGACTGAAGATTACAGGGTATGGCATTCTGCTTGGTCCGGGACAGTTGCTGACATCTTCAGCCTGAAAAAGAAAGCCGGATTTACTGCCAGTTCCCATTTTCATCACGCACCTGTCCCAGGCCCCCTCCTGAATCTCTTTCTGCAGTTAGCCCAGATGTTCTGATCTCTACTGATAATTTTCTACCATTAACAAGTTTGCAAGGAGTCCAAAATGTTGTGGGTTTTAAATGCCTGTTATAAGTTCCTTGGTTTAGTGAAAGGGGTTTATTTCCCGCTATGTGTTGGGCTCTGTTTTTTCTGTTGAATGTGAAATGTATTGTGAACCCGTAATTAAACTGGATGTTCTAGAAATGGTGATTTATATCCATTACTCTGCTTAAGAAATGCTTTGAATTTTCCTGTAGCTGCCAGTGAGTTGTAAGATTTAGACACCTGGCTAACATGTTTTTACAAAAACAAAACAAAACACAAACCCTTAATTTATCCAGGCAATTTCAGGGCTAACTACTTTTTTGAAAAAGAAAATCTACTTGGTGTGTGGAGATTAGATTTTAAATAAAGATCAGGTGCATGCAAAGAACAGGTTCTTAACCCTTTCCTCAAATGTTGTTTCTCTGCTCTAAAAAGGGATTGAAAACATTTTGAGCTATGCAGGGAAATCCACATGGAGTGATTATTCGGAGCAAAGATATGGGTGTCGGGGGCAGGGTTAAGCATTCCTCTTCCCATTAGTGTTTCTCCACTCCAGCCTCTCCCCCTAAGCTGCTTTTCCTTTCAAAAAAGGTGGCATCAGGTCAAATTGAGATGGGGGGTTCCCAATGTGGTACCCGTGGGAACCATGGCACCTGCTGACACCTTTCCTGGTACCCACCAAGAGAGCCAGTTTGGTGTAGGGGTTAGGGGCGCGGACTCTAATCTGGGAGAATCGGGTTTGATTCCCCACTCCTCCACATGCAGCTGCTGGCGTGACCTTGGGGCAGTCATAAAGTTCTTTCAGAGCTGTTCTCTCAAGGGCAGTCCTTGAGAGAGCTCTCTCAGCCCCACCTAAGTGTCTGTTGTGGGGAGAGGAAGGTAAAGGAGATTGTAAGCCGCTCTGAGACTCCTTCGGGTAGTGAAAGGCAGGATATAAATCCAATCTCCTCCTCCTCTTCTTCATCTTCTTCTTCTTCGTGGGTAGAACCAGGTGGGGCTTTTGCCCAGCAAGTCTTCTTCTTGGCCACTGGAGATTTGATTGGCCATGCAGATTTTTAAAAACATTGCTTTGGCAGCAGCTGCCGCCACATCCCAAGGATCTTCACTGTGTGACTGACAGCACACCACGGGAGTCTTTTTGTAGCTGGCTCCGCCTCTCATGGCAGCCATTTTGTGGCTGTGCCCACTACACTGTATCCAAATCCCAGAAGTGCCCTCAGGCTCAAAAAAGGTCGGGGATCCCAAGGCTAGATTTTTATTCAGTTCTGTATGACTTTTTGAAAGCAAATAACACACCATTCTCCCTACCTCTCACTCTGCAGCCATCTGTATATATTTTATGTCTGTTGGTAGCATTTATGAATGCTGTAGAGATCCCCCCATAGAGATGTAGAGCTATGAGAGATCCCCAGAGAAGGAGACCTCCCCAAACCTATTTCTTCTATTCCCAACCCTGGTTAAGGCTTGTTGCTCCCAAGAGTTTGGTGAGCCAGGTGGATTTGGCGAGTCCGACAGAAACGCAAAGAGTGGGTTTCATTTCCAGCCAAAAGTCATCAAATGTACTTCTAAGTATTTTCACATGAATCTTTTAAGAGAGATTATTTATTGGAGCTGCTTTTTTAAAAAAAAAAACCAAAACCCAAGAACGCAAGCATTTATGAAACTGAATGCTCCTTGGAACGCCGGCCGTTTCTGCATACTTTCTCACATCTGCTCTTAAGTCCGGAGTGGCACGGGGTCTGGAAAACATTATTCAGACGCAGGCTTTTAGTCCACTGTTGGGTGAATCTCCGTCTTCTCCGCTTGTAAAAAAAAACAACCCAGCCTTTTCTAGACCAGTGTGGTTAGATGACAACAGTTTTCAGCAGCCTGCAGTACTGGGCATCCAACCTGTCTGGCGAGCCCTGAGAGTTCAGGCTCCATGCCAGTAAGATGGCTGATCTCGGGGCAGAACCTTCCCAGCCTTGGAGTCAGGTGATCAGGAAGAACCAACCACCTCTCACTTCCTACTAGACCATACAGGTCCTGCTGCTGGTTTTCAGCCTAGTGATTGGTTCACCCCTAGGGAAAGCATTCAGGACCTAATAAGACCCTCACAGCCACTCCTCCCTTGTGCTGGACTGTGTAGTCTGCGTTCCCTGCCCTGTACCTGTCTCTAGCACTTCTGTGAGGTGTAGTGTTGGGCTGGGGCCCATTTAACCACAAGATGACTGAGTGACCTCGAGCCAGTCGCCCTCTTCAGTGGGTCACTGTAAAGAGAAAAGACGGGAGAACAATGTGTAGCGTCGCGAATTCCTTGGAAGAACGGCAGGATAAAAATATGGGAGAGAGGACTGATTTACAAATCCTTTTGAATTCTGAGAGGTGCACCAAAAGGGGTAATGTTTGAATGAGTACACAGCACATCTGCTCGCAGCAATCCATATGTGCTTGCAGGGCTATTTTGGGGCAGGAACGCACAGGAACGGAGTTCCGGCTGGCTTCAGAGTTGGCCACACCCACTACAGCCAAAACCTTTGCGTGCGTGGCTACAGAGGGAAGGCCTGGAGAGCGACCCCCCCACGAGACTCCGAGGCAGGCGAGCCGGGGGGGGCCTGGAAGGATCGGGGTGCCTTCCCCAGCCTGTCCGAGGGCCAGCTTGCCCGGGCGCCCCGCAGCTGTGGGGTGCCCGGGCAAGCCAACAGAAGACAATTTAAACTGCCTTCCCTTCCCTTCAAGGGGGGGTTTGCCCGAACACCCCGCAGCTGCAGGGTGCCCGAACAAGCCAAGGGAAGGCATGGGGGTGTGGTCTAATATGCTAATGTGCTGCACTGTCGGGGTGTGGCCTAATATGCTAATTAGTTTCTGCTGTTGGGTGTGGCCTATTATGCTAATGAGTTCCTGCTGGGCTTTTTCTACAAAAAAAGCCCTGTGTGCTTCTGACTCCATCCCAAGAGTCCTGGCACATCCATTCACATCCCTTTGCTTCACTGGATTTCTAAGCAGGCACGGAGGGGTAGTAGCATGAGGTTTAATCACATGGTCATAGGTTGCCAGGCCCAGCCTGGTCACCAGCAAGAGGGTTGGGGGCAGGGACATGGGAGAGCATGTGACATCAGCGACATTGCCAGTGTCATTACACATTTCCAGGTTGTACCTGGACGTGACAGTGGGTAGCTCTAGGAATCAACGGAAACTCTGTGGTAAAACCGTACCATTTCCTGCAATTCCTAGAGCTACCCATTGTGACTTCTGGAAGAGATGTATCAGTGTAGAAATCAGGAGAAAGGCATCATTGGTATAGCGGAACATCTGTCAGTCATGCACGGTTCAAGGGATATAAATGATCATCTCCACATGCTAATGAAAGTGCAAAATGTTTATGGTTCCATCCCCAGTGGTGAGTCAAAGGCGCTCTGCACATGTGCAGAGACAAGTTGTCCCATGACTCTGAATATTGGTTCCAGTGCTGTATACCTTAATAAAGTGTGCCCTGATTGGGCGGCTCTTTGTGTTCTAACGTGTCATCTGAACCCAAAATGGCCCTTATAGTGATAAACTGCCTTAGTATTTTGATGTCAACATAAATAAAACTTTGCACTGGGAGGTTTTAAACTCCCAGGAAGTGTTGCTTGAAACATATGGCTGTACTCATCTCCCAGACATTTTGAGTGTTATGTTCATATTTCTTCTTGGTTTTTTAATCTTTGGTTATTTCTTCGTTTTGTTTTTTTAACTCTCAGCGCAAAGAAGATGTTTATTTTGTAGTCTTAAATAAAGAGGAAGGATCTGGCCTGGGCTTCAGCGTTGCTGGAGGAGTAGACCTGGAACAGAAATCAATCATCGTAAGTGGTGACTGCATCTTTTTCTCATAAGCCAGCTGGAAATCAGATCAAGGGCTCATTTATCATGTCAGTCCCCAGCCAAAGAGCCCCACTGCGAAGGGCTTCTCTCGCACTGGTTTCCATGCCATCTGCTTCTGTGATCAGAGAGGGACATGGCACAGGTGCCAAATAAACTTTGACATTTGTTATTGAAGAGGAACTTGGGGGGGGGGGCTGCCTCAACCCGCCCAAACTGCTGGTCATGACGTCCCCTTCCACAAAGTACAGCAGGGTCCCAGTGAGCATCTAAAATATACCCCCTTATTCCAGAAATTCCCAAACTGGGTATCAGGTACCGTGAGGGAAAACGTCACGTGCCTCGAAAAACAGATGAATGAAATGATCTCATTTGAATCCAAAGTAAGTATCCCTAGAAGCTGCCATCATGTTTTTTTCCCCCAGACAGTCTACAATGAGGGCACATGGATCTTGGCATCAGGTTGATCCAGGTGGGGTAGCCATGTTGGTCAGAAGCAGTAGAACAACGTTTGAGTCCAGGGGCACCTTTAAGACCAACAAAGTCTTATTCGCAGTATGAGCTTTCATGTGCACGCACACTTCCTCAGATACATCAGGTATGATTGGTTCAATCTCATCTGATGCAGTAGTTGCATGAGAGGAGGCTGCCTGTTGCATCTCTGTATGAATTACTGCCCTGAAATTTGCTACTTTCTAAGGGGGGGGGGGTGACCTGACCAGAATGGCTCAGATTAGCCCGATCTCAGAAGCTAAGCAGGGGACCCTGGTTAGTACTTGGATGGGAGACCATCAGGGAATACTAGGGCAGGTATAGAAAAGTGTAAGAGTCCGGTAGCACCTTAAAGACTAACAACATTTGTGGCAGGGTGTGAGCTTTCGTGAGTCACTGCATCTCCTTTAGATACTCTGCCACAAATTTTGTTAGTCTTTGAGGTTCTCCTGGACGCTTACACTTTTCTACTGCTACAGATAAACTAACGTGGCTACCCATCTTGATCTAGGGCAGCTGTGCAGAGACAAATGGCAAACCACCTCTGAAGGTCTCTTGCCATGAAAACCCAAATGAGTTGCCATAAGTCAGCTGCAAGCTGACGACATTTTTCATCACCACTAATGAGGGGGGGTAAGACGCTGAACTGCAGGCTGTGGAAGGTCAGTAGTTCAGCAGTTCGAGACCCGGGTGCCGCATGACGGAGTGAGCTCCCGTCTCCAGTTCCAGCTCCTGCCAACCTAGCAGTTCGAAAGCAAGAAATTGCAAGTAGATAAATAGGGACCACTTCGGTGGGAAGGTAACAGCATTCTGTGCGCCTTGGTGTTTAGTCATGTTGGCCACATGACCATGGAAACATCTTCGGACAGCGCTGGCTCTTCGGCTTTGAAACGGAGATGAGCACCGCAACCCTAGAGTCGGATTCAACTGGCTTTTGAGCAAGGGAACCTTTACCTTTACTCCTAGATCAGTGGCTCTTAATAAACACAAGAAGTAGGCAGTTCTCTGGGGATAACTCTTATTTTCTGTCCTCTAGAAATAAAACTTTTGGAGGCATAGGTGTGCAACCGTGTCTCCAGTTTTAAATCGGAAGTTTGGGAAACAAAGTCTTCTTATTATGGTCAGTGTGTTACGGTTGGTTGATTGGATTGATAACCCGCCTAATCCCTAGTTGTTTAGACGGAGAAACAGTTCTTCCTGGCCCCCCTACAGTGAGGTGGATTGACTCAATCAAGGAAGCCACAAAGGCCCTCACTTTGCAAGACCTGTTCAGGATAGGGCATTTTGGCGGTCATTAATTCATAGGGTCGCTGTAAGTCGGAAGCAACTTGCCGGCACTTAACACACACACACACACACACACAGTAGTTTCACGAGAGTGGCAGTTTGTATTTATTTATTTTCTTCTTATTAAATTTCCACATTTCTCATGATCTCAGAGCAACTCACAAAGAGCTTCCAGGTGGATTTTCATCTAGGCGGTTCATAGGGATAGGCTGGCTTAGCTTGAGCTAAACAAGCTGAGTTGAGTGAGGGAGGAGAATAAACGATTGGAAATTCCTCCTACCCGTTCCACAATACTGCACTTTCTGGGGCTTGAATGGGCCAGTTTTCGCTTATCCTTTCATTTATCCCTCTTTCCTTTATCTAACATCAACTGCTGTGAAAAGTATCGGAGTTCCAGGCTTAGCATAGTGAAATCAGCTCTCATTTGTTAATTACATCGGAACGAAAAAAGATAACTTAGCCGGCGCGAGCCCGGCTTATCCTGGTGCACACACTCACACCCAACGCCCCCCCCCTTCCCATGATAGGTTCTATATACAGAGCCCCATTGGTTCTCGCTAGGATCAACGGGGGCTATTGTTCTAGACCCGAAGGTCCGTAAGTCCTGTAGACTGCATGGCCTGGCACATGCAGTCGTGGCCATCTTAATACATAACATGCTGTCAACTTTCTGAAGACAACGAGCACGCTCAGTCCTCAGGAGGGTTTTTTTTTTCTGGAGAGGAGGGTTCTTCTTTTAAAGGGACACATGCAGAAAAATAGGATTCTGGCAATGGGGGGAGGAGTTTGGAGGAAATTCCAACATTTGCCCCTCCCACGATTCCTCACAGCTTGCACACTCCCAAATTTGGCAAACAAGGAGGGTCTTGCTCAGGAGAGTCACACAAAGCACCTCAGGGTTTTTTGCTTCACTTCCTAGGCCACAGAGGTCTTCTCACTACAATGTAGAGGGGCATTTTGAGAAACTGGGGAAGAGAGTCGACTCTAGTACCATTTAGATAAAACAGCACAGCCAGGCACAAACGTGCTTTCCTGATGAAAACAAAGCCGAGAAATACTGCAGGGCGGAACCTTCAAAACTAAGCCGACTCTCAAAATACACCCATTAGGCATGAAACTCTAGGAACATATATATAAAGAACTATTCAGGGAAATGGAGGGAATGTAGCGTATGGTATAGCCTGGTCTTGTCAGATTTTGGGAGCTGAGCAGGGTCAGTACTTGGAAGGGGGACCACTAAGGAAGGCTCTGCAGAGGGAGGCAATGACAAACCACCTCTCATTCTCACTTGCCTTGAAAGCCCCTTGCTGGGGCCGCCATAAGTCTAAGCTAAGCAGGGCTGGTACTAGGATGGGAGCTAAGCAGGGTCGGTACTTGGAAGGGGGGCCACCAAGGAAGGCTCTGCAGAGGAAGGCAGTGGCAAACCACCTCTCATTCTCACTTGCCTTGAAAGCACCTTGCTGGGGCCACCATAAGTCTAAGCTAAGCAGGGCTGGTACTAGGATGGGAGCTAAGCAGTGTCGGTACTTGGAAGGGGGACCACCAAGGAAGGCTCTGCAGAGGGAGGCAGTGGCAAACCACCTCTCATTCTCACTTGCCTTGAAAGCCCCTTGGTGGGGCCGCCATAAGTCTAAGCTAAGCAGGGCTGGTACTAGGATGGGAGCTAAGCAGGGTCGGTACTTGGAAGGGGGACCACCAAGGAAGGCTCTGCAGAGGAAGGCCATGACAAACCACCTCTCATTCTCACTTGCCTTGAAAGCCCCTTGCTGGGGCCGCCATAAGTCTAAGCTAAGCGGGGCTTGTACTAGGATGGGAGCTAAGCAGGGTCGGTACTTGGAAGGGGGGCCACCAAGGAAGGCTCTGCAGAGGAAGGCAGTGGCAAACCACCTCTCATTCTCACTTGCCTTGAAAGCCCCTTGCTGGGGCCACCATAAGTCTAAGCTAAACAGGGCTGGTACTAGGATGGGAGCTAAGCAGTGTCGGTACTTGGAAGGGGGACCACCAAGGAAGGCTCTGCAGAGGGAGGCAGTGGCAAACCACCTCTGCTTCTCATGGGATGACCCAGGCTAGCCTGATTTTCTCATATCTAAGAAGCTATTTGTATGGGAAACCACCAAGGAAGTGCAGGGCTGCTCCACAGAGTTAGGCAACGGCAAACCACGTCTGAAAAATCTCTTCCCCCGAAAACCTTATGGAGTCACCATAAGTCACCTGCAATCTGACAGCCACCAATTGCTTTAAATAGACCAAACTTCTAAAAAAACCACCCCAGTAACTAAAAAATCTTCAGTTGGTTACCAGCCTTCATGTGTAATGATGTCTCTATCTGCAGGTCCACCGAGTGTTTTCAAAGGGGGCTGCCTCCCAGGAAGGAACCATTCATCGCGGGGACCTCATCCTTTCGATCAACGGCGTTTGTCTGGCGGGTTCTGTGCACGGGGATGTGCTCAACGCCCTCCACCAGGCAAGGCTCCACAAATACGCCGTCATCGTCATCAAGAAGGAGAAAGGCGGAGAAAAGACGTCTTCTTCCCGCCCTGAACTTGCTACTCCTGGCAGGCAGGCCTTGGTGGCAAGGAAGGACGCAACGGTGGAAAGGGGAACAGGTACGGTGTCAGTTCAAAAGCAGCCGGGACAAATCCCCTACAAAGAAAAGTCGACGCATGGAGAAAGCATCATATGGTTTGCGTTATAACGATCAGTGCGTTTGTGCAGTTGGACCAGAGCAAATGAAAAATACACTTGAGTTTAGACTTGAACTCTTTGGGAACTGAAAGAGCCTTTCAAGAAGTCCTCCTAGGCAAGTCGATACCTCAGGCCAAGGGTAGCTCGTGCGGAATCGAGCTGGTCAGTTTCCACCCAGATCAGCTGGAAATCAGATCAGGCCTCTCAGAGGCTGGGTTATGAATAATGCAGTAAAGATGAGCACTTAATGGCCTCGTTTCCAGAGTCAAAAGTATATTTGGATCCCTACATCAGCTTGCAATCCCAGATCATAGTAGCCAAACAGGAAACCTGTGCCAATAGGTTAAAAAAAAAGAAGAAAACCACCCCCAAATTGCACTTGGCTGTTTATTAGTTCCTAGAAATGGAAACAAGATGAGAAAGAAAAGACTGGGGAGTTTAATTGAGACCTCCCTATGGGATGGGTAATAGGTAGGTCTGTGCACCTTTGCTGAGGACTGTCCTGAGGTCTGTTTCGGCACGATCTGCCCGTGCTGGTGACCTTTTAAAAGTCTCGATCGCCTGTAGTCAGTGGCTTTGTCTGTTGGTTTTTTTCCTGTCAAAGGTCCAGCTGGAGAGCCGAGTGATACCCTTTGCATCGAACTTCTGAAGACTTCTGCTGGCTTGGGGTTCAGTCTGGAGGGAGGAAGAGCGTCTCTTTCTGGAGACCGGCCTTTGCTCGTTAAGAGAAGATTTAAAGGGACTGGGGGGGGGGGGAGAGTTTTTCCAGAGTTAGACTCCACCAGCTCCCTTAAACACTGCTGAAACTTTGAGTTTAGTGCTTCGTTCAAATGAGAGACCATCCAGACCTCTCCCCCCCCCCATTTCCCATTCTCACCTGCTTCAGTGTTGCCTCTTTTTGCATTCCTGGTCTTGTGCAGTTCACTGCCCCTCTGGCTCAGTACCCCAGTAGGGATGCTGTGAGTGTGAAAACCTTATAGATTGTGGATGGAGTTCAGAGTGGTAACTGTGTTAGTCTTTAAAGGGCCATGACCACCTTATTGTTCAGCTGTAGCAGACTAACACATTTATTATGGCTTACTCTTTTCTCGAGGCAGAGCCCAGTTCGTACGTAGAAGAAAAATGAAAAGGTTAGAACGGATAAGAGGAAGTACTTCTTCACCCAAAGAGTGATTAACACTTGGAATTCACTGCCACAGGAAGTGGTGGCGGCTACAAGCATGGACGGCTTCTAAAGGGAATTAGATAGGCATATGGAGCAGAGGTCCATCAGTGGCTATTAGCCACAAGGTATAGATAGGGGCTCTGGGGCAAGTGATGCTCTGTATTCTTGGTGCTTGGGGGGGGGCAACAGTGGGAGGGCTTCTAATGTCCTGGCCCCACTGGTGGACCTCCTGATGGCACCTGGTATTTCTGGCCACTGTGTGACACAGAGTGTTGGGCTGGATGGGCCTTTGGCCTGATCCAACATTGGCGTCTCTTATGTTCTCTTATGTTCTTATGACGGAAAAGGGGCTGTGGCTCAGTGGAAGAGCCTCTGCTTTGCATGCAGAAAGTCCCAGGTTCATCCCCAGCATCTCCATTTAAAAGGGTCAAGTAGAAGGTGATATGGAAGACCCCCTGCCTGAAGACCCCAGAGATTGCTGCCAATGGAGAAGGCAATACTGACCTGGACGGACCAATGGTCTGATTCAGTTTAAAGCAGCTTCATGTATGCCTGTGGCTCTAGTTCATGAAAGCGCATGCCATAATAAATTTGGTTAGTCTTCAAGTTGCTACAAGACTTTGAAGGGGATCGATATAGATTTTTAATCACACTTTGCAAACTGAAAGCAGCCTGGGTAGTCTTCCGTTTACTTTGTCTACAGCCCACCTTTCCCACTGGGATTCAAGGCAGATTAGGAGGAGCTGCTGCTCAGTGGTGGAGCCTGGGTCCAATCTCTGGCATCCCCAGTTAAAAGAACGAGGCAGGAGGCGAGGTGAAAGACCTCAGCCTGAAACCCTGGAGAGCCGCTGCCAGTCAGAGTTGGCAATATTGGCCTTGATGGACCCAGGGTCTGATTCAGCGTAAGGCAGTTTCTTGAGTGTTCACTGTTGTTGTTGTTCAGTCGCACAGTCGAGTCCAACTCTTCGCGACCCCATGGACAAGATCTCGCCAGGCCCTCCTGTCTTCCGCCGTCCTCTGAAGTTTGCTCAATTTCATGTTCATTGCATCTATGACACTGTCTAACCATCTCATCCTTTGCCGTCCCCGTCTTCTTTGGCCTTCAATCTTTCCCAGCATCAGGGTCTTCTCCAGTGAGTGCTCCCTTCTCATTTGGTGGCCAAAGTATTTGAGCTTCAGTTTCATTATCTGGCCTTCCAGGGAACAGTCAGGGTTGATTTCTTTTAGGATTGACTGATTTGATCTTCTTGCAATCCAAGGGACTCTCCAGCTCCATAGTTCAAAAGAATCTATTCTTCGGCGCTCGGCCTTCCTTATAGTCCAACTCTCGCAGCCATACATGACTACTGGGAATACCATTGCTTTGACCATGCGGACTTTTGTTGGCAGGGTGATGTCTCTACTTTTTATCATGCTGTTTAGGTTCGCCATCGCTTTCCTCCCAAGGAGCAGGCGTCTTTTAATTTCATGGCAGCTGTCACATTACACTGTCATTACACAGTTTAAAAACAGTGCCATCAGAACATTATAATACATGCAACAAACAAAACTGGATTTCAGAATTACAGAAATGGGGCAGCAGTGTGATATATACACAAGGAATGAACAAAGCAGTGAAAACTACTTGACATATAATGTACATTAACCATGGTCCTATTCATAAAAGGCCTTCTTGAACAATTAGAGAAACAGGTATGACTCTTAGGTGAGACTCCTACGTAATTTAGCTACAACAGACTGACACGGCGACTGCTCCTCGATAGGTTTAGCAGCTACCATTCAAAATGGCTTCAGTTACCACGTTGTCCTTGCCCTGTTGTACAATGGAGCCAGTATTACAGTGGAATTCCCCGGGTTAAAAATTCAGTTATTTCTTTGGAACCGCATGATTCGAAACTTTTTTTGGCCGTTCTGATTTTCACTTCTTGTCCAACAGGTGGTGCTGCAGAACAAGCTGGGAAACTGGACGTCGGCGATGAAATTCTTGCCATCGGTGGGAAATCCCTCCTCGGACTCATGCATTACGATGCCTGGAACATCATTAAATCTGTCCCAGAGGGACCGGTACAATTGCTTATCAGAAAGCATCAGTCTCTAGTATGACATGCGCACTATTGAGAAGTTGAATGCACCTTTCGAGTGGGTCCTTCCAAGCTTTACGTGTCAGGTAGCTGATACCTACCTTTCAGAAGCTTCATAGAGTCAGTGTGTTAGAACGTTCCAATCGGAAAAGAAAGCACCAAGATGCAACAAATCCCTGTCGCTGCTGGTTCCCACCAGGACGGGAGACATCAAAAGTGCCACATATTTTCCCCGCTGGCTATATGGACATCTAAATCTCCTTTCTCCAGTCCTGGACACCTCCTGATTCATCATCTGCGTGGACATCAACCGAAGCAAAGTTATTGGCTGGCTTAATTCAAGCCAAGCCTCGGCCTTGGAATATATTGTCAGTATATAAAGGTCTTGCCCAGGAACTTGTGAAGGGAAGAGAGTGTCTCTGATTACGTACAGAGTACATTTGCCTCGTCATCTAAGCAAGCACAGCTGCCCTCACACATCTCTGACTTTGGGGGCAAAGGCGGACGGGGGTCAGATGAAAGCGACTGCTACGCAGAACTTGAGCCTTTGGCCGTTATCTCTTTTGAGAATTGATTACTGGCTACATGTTCACTTTGTCCTTATCTCCTAGGGGGCACATAGATGGTACTTTGTGTAGGTGGCGTAGGAAAACTCAGTAGCGGATACAAAAGGCAAATCATATCTGGTTTCTCCCGGCTGCCATCGCAGGATTCGGTATCCTCTTTGGATGGCCTCAACCAATGCAATAGCACACTGTATGGGGTGGGCCCCTAGCTCACTGCTGGAGGATAGGATCTGCAGATACACTTCCCCAGGTTCCACTTTTTGGCGTCTCCAGTTGCAGGATCTCAGAGATCAAGGCTGGGAAGGACCTCTGCTTGAGGCCACTGAATGTGGTCAGAGCAAGACAGCTCAGAGCTAGGTGGGTACAAGGCAGGATCCTCTACGGGGTCCATATTTAGTGGTTATCATTTCCCCCTCTTCCCGGTGATCCCGTTGCAGAGTTTCAGTGCCTGAGAGATGGTGTGGGTTTTGTTTTGTTTTTTATAGCTGGCACTTATTTAGGAGGAAATTTTGGAGGATTTTCTCCCCCTCGAAACTACTTGTGGAATACCTGTCCTTTACAGATTTACCCCTTTGCAAGCTGAGAGAAGAAACCGTTGTCCTCTTGTTTGTGATTCTCTGGTTTGACCGCAGTTTCAGTCTCAAGACTTGCGATGATTTGTTAAAGGCAGGAGGGTCTTGGGAGAAATCTCAGTGAGACACATCCGAACATGCTCCTTCCCGGTAATAGCGGCTCTTTCAGAGAAATGGCTGTGGCAGAGAATCGAGGAGCACTCTAAGCACGGTAATTCTCTGGGTGTAATAAGTGGCTATTCAGAGCTTGGAATCAAGGTTCTCAAACATGGTGCCTCTAGCTAGTTAACTAGAAGTTGGATAACCTGGCTTTCAGGAGAAATGGTGCTCTGATTGTTTAATTTCGAGGGAAATTGGTTAGATTTGCTGGGTCTCCAGTGCTTCTGTAAACTCCGTTCTTTAAAACAAAACCAAGGTTTCCTTAGGGTTGCTCTAACAGAACCACACCCAGGGCAGTGGCCAAAAGAACAGACCGAGTTTGAATACTGAGGAGGCTCCGAAAGAGGTACAAAGTTTGCCTCTTTCAACTTTTGAACACCAAAAGGGGGGGGGGTTTTCTATACTTGAAATATTCTGAGCGGCCATATTTCCCGCAAGCTGTATTCAAGAACGAGTTCTGCACCTATCTCTTTACTGAATTTGCCAGTAAGGATGCCAAGTTGCGGCCCGTAGATCTGCCGTGCTGAACTGAAAAACTTAAAAGTCTGTTTGCCGACACAGCCCATCTGTGATGTTCGTCTGCATCTGAACCATACTTACCGGGCTCCACTGAACTGGCCGGATGTGTCCTTTGATTTTTGGGGGGGGGGGGTTGTTGCTCCTCCTTGGCAGCCACCAGCTGTTGTTTGTGACTAGCTGTCCTTGATCGCCTGGGCTGGGTGTCCATACTTCATAGTCCATTACAAAGAAAGATCTCTTGTATGCATAATACGTTTCAAGAGCATCAAATGCACTGAGCTTCAGTCTTTTCACGCACAGTCTAAACACATGTCTAATGTCTCATTTTGACTGATGTGTAAGTTATTGTAGGCACAGGGTTAAAAACAGCATTATTTTTTTTTTCCTAAAGCAGGCCTGGTTGAAAAATACAGAGGGGACAACGTAAAACAAGATCACCCTCCTTAATAAACCCAGGGGGAAATTAGTTTTCTTCCAGTTGCCTTAAACGGATCAGGGATAGATTCAAAATTCCAGCTCTTGTTAAATGCTGTTAATAAATCCCAGACTTTTGCGAATAGCTCCTGTATTTACAGTCTGTCCCAAGCCACTCCAGCCGTATCCTATATATTTACAGGGATTGTTTTTATGTGTTTATAAACATTCATAACTGGCCTGCCCATTGCTTGAAGGGGGCAACCAAGTGAAGCCTTTAAGTCTTTCTCCATTACTATCTTAAGAGCGATTGCAGAGAGGACGTTCTGCCCCTGGGGCAGCACTTAATGGTTTTCGACCTTCACAGTAGCATTCCAGATCACAGCCCACGAACCGTGTCTTGTGAAAGTTGATAGGAACCGATTTATAACACGCCAGTCCCTATCTGCAGGGCCCCACCTTGAATTCTGCTTCTTGGTAAATGCTGCTTTTTATAACAAGACTGCAACTTTAAAAGGCCTGTGAGATTTCATAGGCATGGGGAGGGGAGGGTAGACTCCACCCCCTTTCTTCCAGAAGCCTTGGTGAGCTCATCTTTCCCTGCCTGCCTTGTCAACAGTTTGTCTTCAGATATCCCCACCCCACCCCACCCTACCCTGTTGCCTCAAGGAAGCAGCACTTAACTAACCTCTGGAGAAGACTTTTAATGTGTAAAAGTTTGATGAGGTATAAAGTATTAAAGTATTAAAAATCTGGTCTCTCCCTTCAAATTCAAGCTACATTCTGCAAAAAAAATTAAATAAAACCCCACAACACCCCTTTAAAGAGCACACATGTATAGCTTCGCCCAAAGTTTGATGGAATATTAGGACCCAGCGATTGAATGCACATTCTGCACAGGACTGACATTACAGAATCGTAACCGTGTTTTAGTTGTTTGGATTTCTTCTAAGACCGGTGGCATTTTCCCAACATGGTTTATTAAATTCTGACCCCGTGTACACGCCTTCATTCTGAATCAGGATGAATTTAAAATAGGGAGATGTTTTCTAAAAGCATTCACTGTCATAAACTTCGTGCACCTAGAAACAGACGTGTAATCCAGTTTTGTAAACTCTTCTTCCAGAATACAAGACACTGCAAGGAAGTTAGAACGTCTCTGAACTGTTTACAGACTGTCTTGTGTTTCCCATCTGCTGTGTCTAACAAACAGAGATACGCCAAAAGAGAGATTATTCAGTGTTTTATCACATAATATTTTTAAGGCACGGTAAATAGAACATCTGCGTTGGTATTTTCATTTGTTTTCAATATCAATAATGTGTGGCTGTCTCGTAACTGTTGAACTTTTACTATTGAACTCTGAGTTTGGTTTAATGATAACTGCTCATCCACATCCGATGGCTCGTGCCAAACATGGAAAACGCGTAATGATTCAAGAGAGCTGAGCTTAAACCTTCATTTCCCAGAATCCGTGTGGAGTATGCGTTCCTCACAGAAGAGGAAATCCGCCTTGTAGGAAGGAATCATACATTACAAATTTCACCTTTAAAGTACAGGAACATGATTTGTAGCAGTAAATGAAAATAAAGATAAGAGTTGGGCAGATCTTCTATAAGAAACCAGGATTGCAAACAAACCTTGATCACCAAAACCGCAGGTAAGGTCGTAAACCTGTATGGTTCACCAAGTAGACTAAAGGTGGGAGGACTACATAACTGAAAGCGTCTTCCTTTTAAAAAAAGGCATTACCTGTGCATGGATGTTGGGGAGAAGGATGGCATCCCAGCCATTTCCCTGATCAGCTAGTTTTTTATGTACAGACACACACACACCCCAAATGGAAGCATTCAAGTACATGATCTGCGCCCTCCATCCAACCTGAAATGGTGCCATCCGGACACAGGGTTACCGCCTCACCTGCCAGCAGTGTGAACCAGGCCGTTATTTGTGTGTTATTTTAAAACTGTGACACACCACTTCTTGTATGATACTGTATAGTGACACCATTATTTATATAAATATAACCTTTGTGTGAAGAACTTTTTTTTTTTTTTAAATGCCTTGTTGATACAAAAAGAGAAGTGCAATAAAAGGAACACAGCGTGTACATTTTCCAAGCGTTGCTTTGCCCCATTTCTGTAAATCTGCATCTCGGTTCATCCTCCCCCCCATCTCTCTTTTTTTTTTTTTTTGTAGCCATTTTTGAAAATAAACATGATGCTTAGTTCTACTCTTAGATACTTGTGTTTATATGAGCAGAGGTACGGTGTTTGGAATGTACTAACCTTTGTTATACGCCATTCACACTACGCACTACAGTCTAAGGGCCCATAAAGATGACTCTGGGATATCCCATAAATTCTTTGTAACATTCACCAGTCGGGCACAAGAAATCCTGTGTGTGTGAGGTGCCGTCAAGTCGCTCCCAACCTACGGTGACCCTATGGATTAATGACCTCCGAAATGTCCTCTCATTAACAGCCCTGCTCGGGTCTTGCAAATCGAGGGCCTTTGTGGCTTCCTTGATTGAGTCAATCCATTGGGTCGTCGTCTTTTCCTGCCGCCGTCTGCTTTTCCCTAGCATCATTGTCTTTTCCAGCGACTCTTTTCTTCTCATAATGTGACTGAAGTACGATAGCCTCAAGTCTGTTCATTTTAGCTTCTAGAGAGAGTTCAGGATTGATTCGATCTAGAACCCACTGATTTGTCTTTTGGGGGGTCCACGGTATCCGTAAAATTCTCCTCCAACACTACATTTCAGTTGAATCAACTGCCTTCCTGTCAGCTTCCTTCACTGTCCAACTAGGGCTGCCAAGTGGGGGCGGGTGGCAGGTAATCCCCCGCTTTGGAGGCCCGATTTCCGTCGCCGCGGAATCGGACCCCAGGGGGAACTCCGCCTCCCCGAAGCGCAGCGTGGCTGCGTCACCAGAAGTGACGCAACCACGTCGCTCACGTTGGGGGCGTGGCCCAGATTGTCGGAGGGAAACCTCTATGGTTTTCCCACCGACGATCTGGGCCATGCCCTCAACGTGAGCGACGTAGCCCAGCGAGGCTCCCCCGCCGCCAAGGTAAGTACACTTGGCAACCCTATGTCCAACTTTCACACCCCTATATAGAAATGGGGAATACTAGGGCATGAATTACCTTCAGTGTGC